ACTCGATGAATGAATTATTTAGACATTTATACTACCGGCTTTCTATTTTTTTTTACAGTTGATTATCTTTAAGTTTGTTCTATTGTGTGTTTTCTCTGTGGAAACTTATTAATTAGTTAACTATATATACTTGTGATTTTTTCCTATATAACTGAGAAATTATTTTTTTTGTTTTTTTTTGTTAAAGGACTGAGAAATTATTATTTTCGGTCTAGGTCTAAGATATCGGCTGCATAAAATCGAGAGTTTATATTAGGGGTGTTCAATTTGGTAAAACCGAACCGACCCGAACCGAACCGAACCGAAATAAGTCATATGGTTTGGATTTGGATACACTGTATAAACCGTATGGATGCAATTTTATATAAACCGTGGATATTGATATGGTTTGGATATTAACCGACCGAACCGCAAAAACCGCAAAAAACCGAATAACTTTATATATATTAAATTACTCATATAATAATATAAGTTTAGAGTAATAAATCATTAATTAACTAAAATTTAACAATTAAGAAACACTAAAAAAAAACCTAGATAAAGCGATCTTCCTCTTCTCATACAACAATATTATTATAGCAATTGTCTTCTTCTTCGTTAATCTTTTCTCTTACCCTAGACGTGAACTAAAGGTATCGTTGCCTTAAACAAGTTTTCTCCGTTTGTTCTACTTTTTTGTTTCATAAGTTAACTGATTTTCTTTTAATACTTATTCACTTGTAGATGAGCAAAAGGAATAAGACATGAGTTTGCATTTTTTATTTGAATTTGATCATTTTGATTATGAGAAAAATCGAAAACCCTAATTAATAAAATAATCATAAAACAAAAAATACAAATTAACCGAAAACCGAGATTATTCGACCCGAAAATATCCAAACCGCAAAAACCGAATCCAAACCGAAGTAAGTATGGATCTACTATGGTAGCTATTTTTTATTAACCGAAAAACCAAATACCGAAAAAACCGAACCGAAACCGAACCGATATCCGGATTGAACACCCCTAGTTTATATCTGAATAGTGCAGATATTTTTTACTTGAAAAGAAAAATGTAAAGGAAATATGTGGTCATCTTCCTCCGGCCATTTAGTTTTGGTTTCTTTATAAAAAATGGGATACAACAAATAGTTTTGGTCCCCTACTTGGGAGAAATAAATATAAAACACTAAACGAAAGAGTTAGTAGAGTTTTTCACCATTTTTATTTCTTTTTTCTATGTGGAAACCAAACTAAGACCATCAAGCATATGGTCAATTTTTATTTAACTCGATTGGCGCCGACGTGTTTGTATCATGCAGGTTTCAGCATGATTTGCAGTTTGCACCATTCAATGCGTATAATACATATATCTTTTTACAAAAAACAAAAAAAATGCGTATAATACAAATGTATTCAAAGAATTTATATTACGACAGCAGAAGATTAATAGGGGAACATGTTAGAAAGTTTACAGTTCATAAAGTGGTCTTTAATTTGCTAGGGAATGGAGAAAATGTCAGAAATAGAAATAATAAAAAGCAAAAGTAGCAACTTACCCTGAGTTTCATGAAGCTTCTCGCACCACTTTCCAAATATAACAAAATAGTTTTGTCGTCTTCTGAGCATTAATATAAAGAATTTTTCAGAATTATCTATCATATTTATAGGAACCTCTCCACGAATTACATGGCAGATTCCTCTCAAGCCTTTCCTTTGTGCTGAAGAGATCATTATGTTATTCCCATATTTTTCGACAACTATTTATATTAGTAATAGATTTTTTCTTCCTATATATTCGTGTCCATGTCGTGTAATATGTATACCCATGTTGATAATATAATTATAAGTTAATTGTAAACCAACAAATTAAAAGAAGTTTTGTATCTATATTATCATCTAGTTAACGATTTACTAATATTGTTATTAAAATCAGTATGTAGTTGACAAAAATTAATTAGTTATTGTATGAAACAGACAGTATATTTCTACATAAAAAGCAGGTTATTTACAAGATGTTAAACAAAATATTAGATTATTTATACAAATCTTCTCTATATATAATTAAAGTATAAATTTGCATAGCATTCTGGTCTGTATATAAGTAACACTTATTCAAACTATTTAGATATGAACTGGCCAAAATTTCATGTTCCGAGTGATGTTTACATTACATGCATATGGTTGTAAATGTTTTTTTCTTGTTGAAGATGGTCGTTGCAATTTGCAGATGGTTAATATAGGTAATTATGTATATTTAAATATTATAAAATACGGTTAAACGTTTAATTTGTTGAAAATTGAGGTATAATTTTTCGCTTAGTTATTGGTTTTCGCCGCCATGCATATCATTGTCACCATAAAATTTAGATGTCGAAAACTGTATAATTATTCGTTTTCTCGTTCAAATGAGTTGACTCTAATAAACACAACTTTTTCGTATTTCTGAAACAAGTAATCCATGAATAGAGTAAGTGAGTAACTATATATTTGTTCTATAAACCTCTTAAGACCACAAGTTTTTTCTTGGAGCTATTTTCTTTCTTGGTATAATTTTCTTCGATCTTTTGTCTTTGTTTGTTATTCCGAACCAACGATTTCTGTCATAAAGAGTTTTTTAAACAATTTATATATTGATACTAGAATGATGAAAATGATTCTTCTTTTGTTGGTAAAAATGTTAAGGATGAAAATGATTTTTTTAAACATATGATAATACATTGTTTCGGATCTTTGCCTAAGAGGCTACGTCGCATTCGTTGGAAGTTAGTTTTTGTCTCGTGTTATTTTCATATAAAAAGGCTATTATATCGGATTTATGGATTTCTGTAACACGAAAAAACTATATATATAAAAGTTGAAATAGCAAGTATGACTCATATATGATCTTAGAGCAAATGCAGCGGTTATACCCTCTAAGTTTCTTTAAAAACAAATTTTTAATAAAAAAGAAATTGATTTTTGAGAAAAAAATAATAAAAATGATTGTTTTTATAAAAAAAAAAGAAATAAAAGATAAGATTCAATCAAATTGTGACACTTGTCCAGCATGTGTCAGAGAAACGTGGGAAGAGACTTCTCTCACCTTAAAGCTCTCCAGATAGATAAATATTTTTTTTTCTTTTTGTTTTGGTTAAAGAAACCCACTGAGTATGACCGCTACATTTGCTCTTACAACTTTCATACCAAAAAAGAAGTATATGAGTCGGTAACTTACCTAAAGGCTAAAGAAGCGACGTACAGTATTTGTTGAAAATGGAGATTAATGTATTAGGAGTTTGAAAAGTTTTTTTTCGCGAAAGAGACCAGATTAACATGTGTTTGTAAATAGTGATACCATATATCAAATCCTGTTTGTGTGCATACAGAATCGTGGTGGGACGATTATTAGCGCCGTTATGTTTTTACTTTTTTTTGTTCTCTAATGAGTTCATCAGATTAGTGTGTTCAATTGCATTTCAAATATATTTCTTTGACACATCTGTGTGTTTTTTTTTTTTTTTTTTTTTTTTTAAGTTTGATATGATGCCAGAAAAAAAAGGTTAGATATTATAGTAATAAATAAAGGTGTTTGTTGAAAAAATTACAAAAGATACCTTCTAGTAAATTACTAGCACCAAGAATTTTCTTTTTATCATCACTGCCCGCGCATACGCGCGGATTTTTATGTTGTTATAATTTTTAAAAACACTATAAAATAGTTCTACATTTATAAATAATATTTTAATATGATATATAATATTATAAATTCTAACACAGCAAAACTCATGTTTTAGTTCAAACTTACTTGGTTAGCGACTGAATTTCAAATATATATTTTTGCATCATACTTTTATGCATAACTCTCTCTGTTTACTCACGACCACATGAAATGAACTTTGATTCCCCACATTTAGTTATAACAATGCTAATGTGTCTAAATCCGGAAAAAGTTGAACCATTTTATAAATATGGTTATTAATATTTCATGTTCCATCTTAAAAGAAAGGAATATAAAAGAGACTATTAAGAGTTAGAGGTTGATATTATGATTACGGAGGATTAAAGGATAGAAAGAGCGGAATTTGTAAAGACGGCTTATATATAACTTCACGTCCAATAAATTCGTAATTTATTAACTTTTAAACTGTAGAGGAAAATGAAAGGTCAAAAAAAAAAAAAACTTACTGCCACATGTCAAAAATATGGAGAGAGTTGGCCTCTTTCATATATATGATTCATACCGGGTCATTATTGTTACTAGATCTGAAGCCCCGCGCAAGCGCGGGTTGTTTGCGATAGTTTTCTGTTTAGTTTTATCTATACTTGTTGATTTGAATTATGATGGTTTTGTATTAACTTTCATGTTTTTTTTGTTTATGTTTTGAGTTAACCCAATCACTAACATTAAAAATATGAACAATTTGTCTTTTATTTTATTTTATTAGGATGTTAACACTCCCACTTTATCTCGAGTTTTCTATTTCTAAAATTTTAGCATGTTATAAATATTATGTTTGTTTACTTCTGTTAGACTATAAACATGCATATGCATTGACTCAACGTTAAAATTTGTAAGCATAATGTAAAATAGCATTTGGACCCGAAATAAGATGAAAAAAATAATATATATACTTTTTTACATATCTACTTTGTTGTGGTAGCATATGAGCCTCATAACCATTGATTATTTTCTATTATGTTAGTTTTGTAAATATTAATTATATTTTGAGACAAACATATCACAATCCTTAAAATTTTCATGTTTTTCACTGCAATTAAATTTACATATAAAAACTCGACTTCTATTTTTTTTAAACAAACTCTAACTCTAATTTCTCATTGGCTTTTTATTATCTTAATTAATTTATATTCAACTTTTTAACTTGTAAACACATTATAACATTTTGAAATAGGATAAATTCTTTTAATAAAAAGGTAAATATATACCATTTCAAGTTACATATATTTTTACTTTTTTTTTTTTTGGTGGGCAATGTGGGAGCCGAAGGCTTCCCACTTTTATTAAGAATCAAACCAGTTTAAGAAATACAAACACTTCGCGGATACGAAGATCCGAGAATATCATCCTGCAAAATAGAGTCTAGATCTGCAGGTGGTACATGAAAAGGATGAAAACCCAAAGCCAGTGTAAAAGCATAGTTTGCTAACCCATCTGCAAGACGGTTAGTCTCCCTATACACGTGCGAAATGCGGACCTCCCAGTCCCTTTTGAGAGAGCCATGGCACAGACGTACCAGGAATGACAGTGGATGTGACGGTCCAATCCCTGTCTTCAAGAACCCGACCACAAGCTCCGAGTCGACCTCCACTTCCAGCTTCATGATCCGTTTCTCCCAAGCGATCACAAGCCCATAGTACACCCCCCATAATTCCGCCAATGTAGCTGTGCATCGTCCAATGTTGAGTGCGAATCCTCCACACCATTCTCCATAGTTATTTTGGATGACTCCACCTGTTGTTGCTAACCGAGGGTTTCCTCGAGACGCACCATCCGTATTCAATTTAAACCATCCCTCGTTCGCTGGTGTCCAACCGATCATCCTCTCCACTCTTGCCGGTCTAGAGCCCGGTTCCTTACACGCCTCCATCGCCTTGATAACGTCCTTGGCAACATCCTTCACAAACCGCATTGGATCCCTACATGTGCGATTTTCTCCAAAGACATTCCCGCATCGCCACTTTCAGCCCCACCATACAGCCATAGCAAAGGTCGTTGACCACGGGGTCCCCTCAACCAGCCCATGCTCTCCCAGATTCCCGTATAGCCACGTGAGGATTGAACTCTCGAAAAACTCTCGCTGTCTCCTCACTGGGACAACTCTGTTCCAAATCCCCTGCATTGCTGGACAGTCTCTGAGTATGTGGATCAGAGTTTCAATACCTCCCTTGCAGATCGTGCAGATGTCTGATTCACAGAGGTGTCTCCGCTTCCTCTCCAAGTTCGTCATAACACTCTGAGTTCCTGCCAACCAAAGAAAGAATCTCACCCGCTCCGGCTCCTCCACTTTCCATATGCGCCGAAAGAACTCCTCCATATTTACTCTTGGCGCATCGTTTCTGGTAACAAGTGCATAAGCAGACTTCACTGAAAATTTCCCACTCGGACTAGGTCTCCATGAAAGCTGGTCCTTTGTCCCCGTTACCGTATCCACCACCACTGACATTAGCTCAAGACGTGAGTTCTCCGACACAAAAGGAACGATCCGGTCCCACAGCCATCCCACTCCATCTTGCCATAGGTCCCGAGCCGTCACACCCTCGTAATTTCCCGGCGGTACAAGAGCCTCCAAATTCAATAGTGGCTTATCTGAGACCCATTTATCTGTCCAGAACCGTATGTCGCTTCCGTCTCCGATAATCCAGCCCTGTCCCAGTTTAAGAACGTCCCGGAGGCCCACCATGATACTCCGCCACGTCGATGACCAATGAGATTTTGGTAGCATCCAATGTCTCTCCGAAACCACGCCGATCTTGTACTTACTTCTTATGACCCGTGCCCACAAGCTTGTGTGATCTTGTAGTAATCTCCAACCAACCTTTGCTATCATCGCAACGTTCATGCCGTATGCTTGGCGTAAACCCAAACCTCCCTCCTATTTTGGTGCACACACCCTTTTCCAGGCCACTAAGTATTGTTTCCTTTCCCCAATGTGACTGCCCCAGAGAAACGATCTCGACAATTGATCCAACTTACCAAGAGTTGACTTTGGTAAGAGGATCGTACCCATCGAGTGGACTGGGATCAACGAGATCACCGCTTTCGTAAGTGTGAGTCTCCCTACCGTGCTTAACACCCTACTCTTCCATCCAGCCATTCGCGATGTCACTCTAGATACAACATCCCCGAACGTTTCCTTGTTGATCCGCTTCTGTAGAACCGGCATGCCAAGATATTTTCCCATATCACATGTCTGCTGTATCCCACTTGCTTCGCTAATCAGATCTCTTGCATCTCGAGGAACATTCGCCGAGAAATAGATCTTCGACTTGGCAAGGCTCACCTTTTGTCCTGAGGCAAGGCAAAACTTCGCCAACACCCTCCGTACCACTCTTACCTGAGCTACTGACGCTTCAGCGAAGAGAATCAAGTCGTCGGCAAAGCAAATATGACTCAATTTCGGTCCACCCCTGGAGAGACTAATTGGTTTCCACATTTTTGACTCAACTGAGTGTTCAATAAGCTCGCAAAGTCGCTCCATACATAGAACAAATAGGTATGGTGATAGCGGATCTCCCTGACGAAGTCCTCTGGCCGGCTGGAAAGCTCTTGTCTTTTCCCCATTCCACAAGACGTGCATCGACAGGCCAGCAACACACTGAAGTATCCACCTGACCCAGTCCGCTGATAGTCCGGCTGCGATAAGAGTGTCCTCCAGAAAGTCCCACCTGATTATGTCGTATGCCTTCTCCAAATCCAGCTTAAGAAGCATCCACCCTCGCTTCCCCTTCTTTCGCCTCATTGAATGTATCGCTTCTTGTACAATCACAATATTATCCGCACTTAGTTTCTCCGGGATAAAACTCGCTTGAGCTGGTCCAATTAGTTTGGTGATTACTCCCTTGAGAAGATTAATCATCATCTTTGTAATGGTTTTAAATAGTACATTACATAGACTGATCGGCCTAAACTGGGTAATTCATATTTTTACTTATATTCAAACTTTTTGACAACTTTTAACATCAAGTTATCACATACTTTATATTAATTAAGTAATTTAGTTGTGTATTTTTCTTAGTTTTATTTATACTTAAAATATAAATATATACAAAGAAATATGAATAGTTATATATTAAATATTTTAAAACAATTTAATGATTTTTTTTTGTGCTGAAGTGGACACTTTATATGGAGAGAGCAACTCCCTTATTATATATAAGATATCCAAATTAAAAACGTTCATTTAAGATATGACACATAATCAAATACTTATAACCGAAATTGTTTGTTAACATAACCAAGTTTTGCTCCACGGTGCAAAGAAAATGACAGAAGAGACAGGTCAATTATAACACACAAGGAGGCTAATCAAATTAGATAGGTGATGGAATATATGACCTAGCTAGCATTATTGATAAGCTATTGTGAAGCTAGTGAATTAAACCCGAACTAATAGAAACTCAAATCTTGTTGATATATAAATTTAAAAAAAAAAACTGGATTCCAATATGATATGGTGTGAGTCTAGTTAATTTACAAAAAAAAAAAACTTGTAATTTAGATTTTTCTTTTGTTGCCGTTTAATAGAACAATATGAAATTTGATGTTAAGCTCTAATAATTATTAGTGGGACGCACAATTTTCTTAAAGAGTGATAAAAAGTTGTTTTTCTCTTAGAAATTCTAACTAGGATAAAAAAGCTGAAACACGAAGTAAGTAGCAACCAACACAACGTAACCTCTATTATCATGGGAACTGGATATGCCCCCCCCCCCTCCCCCCCCCAAAACATGTGCTATAATTATTAACTAATACTAATACATGAATATTCATTTCGAAAAAATGCATACTAACTAAGTAACTATACTATTTAATTGAGATATTAATGGGGACGAGTTGCAGATGTACAATTAGGTACCTTCAAGTCGACTTGGAAAATAAAGTTATTTGTTCGTCCTTTTTAATTATGCAAAACTAATGAGATGATTTTATTTTTGGTAAAGTTTGATATTTTTCTTCTTAGGCTCTTAGCTATGAAACATTAATGGTGTTACAACATTTACAACTCCGGGGAATGGAAAATGTTTTGAGATTAACTTATAGGGGAAATTATTGTTGAACAAATATTACCAGTGCTATTATTTTTTGGAGGAAATTAAGAAAAAAAAAACAGAATCGTGTAAGCACCAATGATACTTTCCTGAAAGCACGTGACATATATCTCATGATCCTATAGTATTTTACAAATGATAGGATACTAGCGAAAATGGAAGAGGACCACGTAGGCACGTAAGTAACCATTTGCACGTCCTATTGAATTTTGTGGGAGACTTGATAAATGTTAACTGATAAGTAGTACTTATATAGTAATATATTTCACTAAACTATCTACTAAACCCGCAGCTCACGATGGTAGCATTCGTCAAACAAGAAAGCAACATCTACTTAAGCATCAATGAAATAACTGAGTTACTATTTTAAGTTTATATTAATTCAAATATTCAATGAACCAACGATTTTATATAGAAACATAAAACTTGATACTATATTACTGACAATTCTACTTCATCACTATTATATTGTATCTTTCCTAACTCCATCCCTATGCACTCTACGTACTACGTACTACTGTACCTTTTCGAAAATGGTAAAAATGTTTCACACTGTTCTCAATTTCTCGTCTAGGTGAATTTTATATATTGGGTCATTTATCACGGCGCGCATGTTGAGTATTTATTAGGAGCATCGAACTACATGATATATAGTATGGTGGTTGTTCAATATTTTTGAAAAAAAAAAAGAAACAGGGCCACAAAGTCAAGTCGATTCACAAATAATTTTATGTCTTTATCCTTCTTGATTATTAAATGATTAGAAAAAGAAAAAGAGAGAATAAAAGGAAAAATAAAGAGAGAGGAACATAAGGGCTATGGTATGAAGTAGAAGTGAAGATGCATGCGATGGTGTGTCGGAAAGGCAAAGCACATGCTCCACAACTTGAGCTTCTCACTTGCGTCATGGGTAAGTATCCTCTGTACATTCTTACTTTTACTATTATGTACTACCTCACTTCTCAGCCGTTGGATCCCAATCTTCCATTATCATCCTTTAGGGTCCCAGACCTTACGCCCATCTATTTCTTCTCTTCGTTGCATTCTGGTTTTGTTTTCCGTTTTCATATGCTATCTTATAAGTGCTAGATTCAGTTACAAACTACGAAACGATTGTTATTTTTTTAATCTGCTTTAATCGCCAAAGGATTACATTTTACGTTTATAGACAGTCGTAACAAACACAGTGTCAAAATCTAAAATCGTTTTTCGTTGTTGTTGCTATTTAATTTGTTTGTCAAGTATTGTTTTTTTTTTGGGGCTCTCTCCTTTCTTTCTTTTTTTCTTTCTTTGATTTGTGTGAACCAATTTCTAAAGTTTTATATAAATATCGGTTCCTTTGAAAATATTAAAGTTTATATACTTTAACTTTAAGTTTTTCCTTGACAAAATAAAATATCAACCAAATTAATGGTTTGGAAGAAATTTGTTTTCCTTTGTAAATTGTTCGTTAGTTTGTTGTGAGGTTCTTGGCTAAATACACTGTCACTACCATATTTCAGAGCTGAAAATGCATATTAAGAAGTAAATGATCTATGGCCTCTTACGCAGCACGAGGTTACATAACAACCATTTATGAGAATTTAATCCCTTAGAAGCCAATGGTGACTCGATAGCAGATTTGCATTCCATGTGACAAAAAGGATCGTCTGGCTCACGCAATCTACACATTTATGGCTAGCTGCTTGATAAGTAAGGTTGATATCTGCTTTGCGAAATTGAAAGTTCATAAGACCTTGATAATTGATACTAATTCCGTAGCTTTTTGTTTGATAGTTAGAAAGTTTCGACTCGTGTCTCAAACATTATTTGAATCCGGATCGTTTAAAAGAAAAAGATACTTCACATTTATGTGTTCGTTATTACCAAAGTCCGTTAAAAATAATCATAATCACCAATCTTGGTGGTATCCCTTATAGTATTTTTTTTTTAAAAATTTATATGATCATATAAGTTGATGAGCGACACATATAAATTAATTATGAAAAATATATACATTGCGACAAAACCACACAAACACACTACAACCATTTGCTATTTTCTTACACTATATAAATAACAATAGAATTTTCTTGGGATCCAATGCCGTTTAGGACAAGATTTTACCAAACGAGAACTAAAAAAAAGTTGAATAACAAACATATTTTAAAATGTTTACTTGATATACATGGACTACAACAACAATAAAAGAAAAGGAAAACCAAATAATGATTGAAAAGAAATATCATCACGCAAAACCTTAAAAGTACTATCGATGTCGTGTCCTCCTCCTCATCATCTACATCAAATAGTTCCCACAGTTTTCACATCCATTTAACCATTTTCACAATAATTTTTCACTCTCTCTCTCTCTCTCTCTCTCCTTCGTATAATACTATATTAGTACCATTACCCATCTCTCTTTCACCACCAAACCTCTGCAATTCCTCTCTATACTCTCTCTCTCTCTCTCACTCCAAGAAAACAGAAAAAAATGTCAGTCGACCCTTACTCAAGAGATATCCACCACAACCCTCTATCGTTGCACCACCACCAAAACGACGCCGCGGCACAAAGAGAGTCTCTCTTCGAGAAATCACTCACACCAAGCGACGTCGGAAAGCTAAACCGCTTAGTCATACCAAAACAACACGCCGAGAAATACTTCCCTCTCAATAATGGCGTTGGAGATGACGTGGCAGGGGAGACGACTGAGAAAGGGATGCTTCTTAGCTTCGAGGACGAGTCAGGCAAGTGTTGGAAATTCAGATACTCTTATTGGAACAGTAGTCAAAGCTACGTGTTGACCAAAGGATGGAGCAGGTATGTTAAAGACAAGCACCTCGACGCAGGCGACGTCGTTTTCTTTCAGCGTCACCGTTTCGATCTCCATAGGCTCTTCATTGGCTGGCGGAGACGTGGCGAGGCTTCTTCCTCCCCAGCCGTCTCCGTCGTGTCTCAAGAAGCTCGTGTTAATCCGACGGCGTATTGGACACCTTATCGTCAAGTACACGCGTCAAATACTACTTACCCTAACGTTCACCAAGAGTATTCACACTATGGTAAAACTCTTTATTTCTCATCTTTTTTTTTAGTTTCTTTCTTATCTATATGTCAGATTTATACTCTTTCTATTTTTTTATTGTCTTTAGAGATTTTTGTTTTAGATAATGTTTTTTTTCCACAAACATATATATGCTTCATAACTTCTTTCTTTTTTTGACAAATGCTTCATAACTTCTTTAGATAGCTTTTATGCGTATATACATCGTAGTTTCATTTGTTAAGAATAATAAAAGAATGGGAAGGAATGTATTTCACATTTTAAACCATTTACAATATAAAGAAACACTATAAGACATTCATCTTTTCTTTCTTCAATAGATTGTAATAATTTTTTGTTTCTTATAAATGTTGCGGCGATTGAATTTCAAATGAGTTGTTTTTCATCTAAAATATAGTTTGATATGAAATCTGAGTTTTCTAGAAAAAAAAATCAATTATTTTAGTTGCGTGTGTAAGTACATATAGCAACAACCCGAGTCCTGAGATAGCAAAAACATTTTGTTATAGATATGTCTTTGTTTTTTCGTTATTTGTCTTTTTAATTTTGGACAGAAAAATTACCCGACAATCTCAATAATCTTCGCCAAGTTGTAATAATCCGTTACACGCGCGTGTGGAGAACTGTCCAATCCACTTAGACTAACGTGCTCTTTATTTCTTCCTTTAATCAATATTTTTAAAATATTAGAACTAAAAGACACGCACGTGTCGTGATGGTGGAAAATTGTAGGCGCCGTCGCTGAGACGCCGACGGTGGTTGCAGGGAGCTCGAGGACGGTGAGGCTATTCGGCGTTAATCTAGAATGTCATGGTGACGTCGTCGAGCCACCACCATGTCCTGACGTCTACAACGGCCAACACATTTACTATTACTCAACTCCTCATCCCATGGTAAATAATTTTACATTTCTATCACGTTCAATTTGCTGATGTTGGTACGTATGTGCAGCTACTGATTAAATAATTGAGTTAATCAAGTACTTTATTAAACAGATGTCGTGGCTGTTTCTCGAGACGAGACATATGAAATTAAATATATTTAAAAAATAGAACAGAAAGAGATTTTTTTGTTTAACAAAATAAATGAAGAAGGAATCTGGGAGAATAATACTACACTTGACTGTAAGCGCACATGGCCAATTTGTTGATAACTTGTAGTTGTAGCCTAGCATGATTTTTTTTTTTTTTTTCTTCTGTAGCCTACTATTCTTTTAGAAAAATAATTAATATACGCCTCAACTATCTATTTTGGTTTTACTATTCTTATTTGTTTGGCACCGTCCTTATTTTGTAAAAGTCAAAGACAAATGCAATTGTTACTGATATGTTTATTTGGACACCGAAACTGACTAATGTTTTGTCTTTTCAGAAGTTGAATTTGGTAAAAGTATTGAGATATTTACATTGTAAATTTTAACTTGTAGTATATATAGCCAACTATATCATGATATAGCATGATATATTTTAACTAGGTAGTATATATAGCCAACTATATCACAGTTTAAGTAAACGCTTTTTAAAAAAAATCATATAAGAAGTTTTAACAAGAATCTCCAGTTTTATGCTGAAAAGTGAAAGGCTAGTGATAAGAATAAAATAGTGTGCTGGTTTCGTGAAACAGAATATCTCATTTGCTGGGGAGGCGATGGAGCAGGTAGGAGATGGACGAGGTTGATGATGATATCCAAAAAGAAGTGACTACTTTTTAGATTTTGACTTTAGATTATGGGTCCATACTTAGCCCAAAGAGAAAACAACAAAAAAGAAGACGAAGAAGAAGAATGAATATCAGTAACATCGTTATGTATTTATTTAACTAATTTGGGAAAAGATTATGGAGATTTTTTATTTCTACATTTGAGGCAGAGAGGGGGGGGGGAAACAAGATGTATGTTAATAAATGTTTATTATTAGATGCCTGATCAGATCAATTCAACGAAGCTTTCACAAAAGTCATCTGAGAGCAGGTACCCCTAATTGGCTAGCTAGATATCCGTACACACATGTCGCATGTATGCATGTAGTAATGTATGATGATGATGAAACATGGCGCTCTTAACATTGCATAAACAATTGGAACCTTAGTCTTCTTTATACTTTATTTTTTGTTTCTCTTCACATTGGCGCTCTTCAAGAGTTCTCATCCCTTGGCCAAAGAAGTATGATCTCTCTCTCTCTCTCTCTCTCTCTCTCTCTCTCTCTCTCTCTCTCTCTCTCTCTCTCTCTCTCTCTGTGTTTGGGTTTGGGCTTAAAAGCCGTCAAAGCCTTTCGTTTTGGACCAAAATAATAGAGTTGTAGAAAACTGTACACAAATTCTAGCCATTATCTTTGCCTTTTTTTTTTTTCTTTTTTTCTTTAAAAACATCTTGATCTATGCATAAATGAGAAGGTTGGTACATTTTGACAAGAAAGGCATTTATAATTTTATACACGAAGGAACTTAGTAAAAACATTCTAGTACTTTTATGAACCGCTTTTTTTTTTTTTTTTTTTTTTTTTTATGTGGCAATTCATTGCTTATTCTTCGAACTTAATATTTTTTCTTCATCCCCATTAGTAATACCGACTATGTATAATGATTTACCATTGACTTTTTTATTAAAAAGTTTTATATTCGTAAAGCAAATTATAGCATGTGCTACTTGTGAGGTATGGATACTCGACCACACATATACTTAAAAATCAATCAACTGTATATACTTAACAAGTGGCCTGTTCCTTATTACTACTCCAGTATTGGTCAAACATTGTTGGAGGAGAAATTAAACTCAAATTCTTCTTGTCAACTCTCTTTCATTATAGGTAAATACTGTATTATGATTTTATTTGATTGTTCAGATAGTTTTAATGTCTTAGGTAATTGACAGTTGTCTCGAGCTTAATAAGATCGACCATGTGAGGAAACTTCTTCTATAAAAGGATAGTTAATTATGTGGGATGCATCTATTTATATTTCTGTCTGTCACATGGATGAAATTGATAGTCAGATCAGATAGTGGATCTATTTATAATTAATAACGAATTTATTGCTTGCCCGAAACATATATATAACTATTAATACTTTTCTCTGGCCAAAGAAGATACATTTTCACGTTTCTTCTTTACAAAGAGAAAGAGAGATCCGTTTTTATGCCGACATGGATCATCATCAACAAGAATCGAATTCTCTGAAACAGCTCTTCTCATCTATATCTTCATCTCCTTTCTTCTTAACCTTCAAGATCAAGAAACATATATTCGTCGGAATCTCTCTCCTCATTAGTTTCCTTATATTATCCGTCGTCGTCGTCGATCTTGCCGGCTTCCAGCCTCATCTCTGTTTCGGATTCTTATCTTCCTCATTGAAAAGCCTAACGAATGGACAAAAACACGTCGACGTATGCGATTATTCTTACGGAAGATGGGTCCGTAGAGGACGCCGTGACGTGGACGAAACAACATCGTATGGAGAAGAGTGTCGGTTTCTGGATCCTGGTTTTCGTTGTCTGAATAATGGCAGAAAAGATTCTGGTTTCCGACAATGGCGATGGCAACCACACGGCTGCGATCTCCCACGGTAATATTGCCACACACTTATGTAACTTTGCGTGGACCTTAAGGTATTGGTTTCGATTAAGACAAACATTTAGGATTTAATGATTTAGAGTTACAAGCTATGCATTGATCCGTTGAGTATAGAGATACAATTACTGCTTCTAAAAAATAAATTTTTGATAAAAAAAAAAAAAACATTTAAAAATTTGCCCACTTTCGTTTTGAATTGATTATGTGACTTAAAGGTGTAAACTTTAAACCTTTAGTTGTGAATCTCGCGCCAATCAAGTTCAATTTTTTTTTTGCCACTTTACTTGTTTTTAACTATGGTGTGAAAACGATAAATAGATTCAACGCAAGTGATTTGCTGGAGAGGAGTAGGAACGGGAGGATTGTGTTCGTCGGAGATTCCATCGGAAGAAACCAATGGGAATCTCTGTTGTGTATGCTTTCACAAGCAGTGTCAAACAAGTCTGAGATATATGAAGTAAATGGGAACCCTATAAGCAAGCATAAAGGATTTCTTTCTATGCGGTTTCCGGAACAAAACCTAACCGTCGAATATCACAGAACACCGTTTTTGGTTGTGATTGGTCGACCACCTGAGAACTCACCGGAAGATGTTAAAATGACGATTAGAGTCGATGAGTTTAACTGGCAGTCGAAAAAATGGGTCGGCTCTGATGTTCTCGTCTTCAATACAGGACATTGGTGGAACGAAGACAAAACCTTTAATTCGTAAAAATCTCATCTTCATGTTGATGAATACAAGATCATGAAAACAAGACAAATGTGATTAAGTGAGCAGTTTTATTGTTGTTGCAGGGGTTGCTATTTTCAGGAGGGAGGTAAATTGAACAAGAAAATGGGAGTAATGGAGGGATTTGGCAAGTCTTTAAAGACATGGAAGTCTTGGCTATTAGAGAAACTAGATTCTGAGAGTAGTTATGTCTTCTTCAGAAGCTTTTCTCCTGTGCATTACAGGTCTGTTTCTATGAGGGCGAATCAGAGAAGAGTCATTAGAATCTGACTTTAAATAAGCTTTTTGGGTGTTTGTAGGAATGGGACATGGAACTTGGGTGGTTTGTGTGATGCAGATACAGAGCCAGAGACTGATATGAAGAAGATGGAAACTGACCCTATCCACAACAACTATATCTCTCAAGTGATACAAGAAATGAGATATGAACATAGTAGTAAGGTTAAGTTTTTGAACATTACATATCTGACCGAGTTCAGGAAAGATGCTCATCCTTCGCGGCATCGAGAACCGGGAACTCCTGAAGATGCTCCTCAAGATTGCAGTCACTGGTGCTTACCAGGTGTACCTGACACTTGGAATGAGATTCTCTACGCGCAGCTACTGGCAATGAATTACCGAACAAGATGAAACGACGCAGTAAGTATGTATCATCGCTTCCTTCTAGTCATGTGTTTGCTATTTCCTCGATGCCTTCTTCGGTCTCGGTTTCGTTTGTTTGGAGTTCCTTGACTTTCTTAAGCTGTCTCAATAGGTTCAACCTTTCTGACCCGTATGTGGAAGGAATCTGAATGAAGACGATAACATCAAAACTGGTTCAAAGAGAAGGTACTGAATTCTGATTGGATTTTACAGAGAAGGTGTTGCGTACCAGGCCTGGCACATATCTCTGAATTCCGGCCAGTATAGCTGCGTGACCAACCGCTGTAACCTGTTGAGAATAGCTTACTCATTATATAGAGAAACTAACTAAAGATGTAGCTTGGAGTAGTTCAGAAAAAGTGTATAATATGATCATAATAGAAAGAAAAGAGTGAACATAAACTTGTCTGTGTAAAGTAATCTTCGACTTACAGGAAGAAGCATTAGAATACCGATGGGAATAACTGATGCCAAGTCAGTGACGGTTCTGCGAAGAGCTTTCTTTTCTTTTCCTGTTAATTCATCACCAATCAGAGACCTCCTAAGTAGCTCCACAGCAGCTGCTGAATCAGTTGCAAGAAGCTGAGTACCTTGCCACACGTCCTGTAAACAGAAAAAAAAGTTAACAGAGGAAAGACAATGACGCAATGACACAGAAGCACGCAGTGTAGCTTTGGTGTTTAGAGAAGATGTTGATACCGTGGTGGCTTCTCTTAGCTTGTGAAGAGTTGTCTCTATTATGTTCTCCTTCTTTGGAATCTGAACCAACTGAACGCCTTTCGATCTACTGCTTAATTGACCAGGATCCTCAGAGATTTTTTCCTGCATAATATGAACAAACACTTCGAAGCTTGTACTGGTGGTGACACAATATACGCAAGACCCAACATTTACTAAAAAGAAGCTGATTGATTTATCTTATAACCATCAGTTTATCTAACTGAATGCAAAGTCATTCCATTATCTGTTTGGGTTATCTGTGTGCATTAGTGAAATTTGAATTTTACCGTTACGGCATCTTGCAGTAGCAGCTGGTTACTATCCTCCTCATCTACTGACTGATCAGTGCTTCTTTTGACCCGCATTTCCAGTTCTATTAGTTCGTTCCTTAGAATTTCAAATCGACTGATCTCATTTGTCTCAGAATCCATGCTAATTAAGTTTCCACCGTTTTTGCCAGTATTTTCATCTACCTGCATCAGCCAAAAAAATTCCTGAATCCTTTATCCGTGGACTTTAGATGCATTGCATCACTTATTTCAACGAAAACCAAATAGTAATATATACCAAGTAATTGACTGAACAAACACAGAGCACTACGTAGAAGAGTTTTAAGAAGATTTCAGGATACTACGTATTCAATTACTCTGAGAGCTAAGATCACAAAACGGAGCTTACCAATAACTCAGGATCAGGCTTACTCTTTGGAGGCCGCACAAAGAATCCCCAGAATCCACGACTGGTATTAATACAGAAGCAAGCAACAACAGCATTATTAACAGAGTAGTCACGCTTATATAATTAAAACTAACAAGGTTGACGTGAAGAGGAAAAGTACTAAGCAATATGTGGCATACCTTTTGCCTTGATCTTCAGAACTAATTGCATTCTTTGTATCTTTCCCTTTAAAATACCTGTTCTGTACCTTGTAGGATTCCTGAGAATCATTTTTGTCACCTCCCTGAGTTAACCATATGAGGTTTTAGTATCCCACACAAACCAAAAAACACAACATGCAGTTTGCAATTCTTTGATTGGTGCTACACCGCATAAAGAGGGGTACAATAGGTTTGCTTTGTCCATCTAGCAACCTTTGCATTCAGATATATCATACTCAAATCTTAACAGAATCCCAAGAAAAGAAGACAATGATATATAAAAACCTGTTGCAAGGAAGCTGTTTTGGCTCTGAAAGTTGCCTCCAAAAATTCAGCCTCTTTTTTAAGCTTCCGTATTTTCTCAAGGTCAGAGCAAGCGGCTTTTATTTGTTCCTTTCCAGACGATGATTTTGATACATACAGCTCCTGTAGCAGGCTTTCCAGTCTCACGAGGGCTTCATCTACACTTTCTAGGGCCTGGGGACTATGTACTGTTAGTATATATATTGTATCTGATTGACAGCATTTTATAAAAGGAATCAGATCCAAGTAGTGTACGCCATATAGTCCTTCCCAGTAAACCATTTCAATAGAAGACCAACCTTGTCAAATGAGTCCGCCTCTCTAACAGTTGATGACGCATTCCTGTAAGAAAAGTCATTTTTGTTACTACCACCCTACATCGAACGTTATCCAAAATTCAAATACACTGAATTCTCACTTTGATATCGCCAATTCTTCCTTGCACCGAATCACAGTCTTGTGCCTAAACATTAAGAAAGAAAGTCAACACGACAACGAATATTACTCTGTCTACTATCCAAATATTGAGTAGACAATATGTATGTCAAATACCCCTTGGATAAGAATCTTGCTGCCTTGACATTAGAAGGATTCTCTGGCCATTTACTATGTTTGATAAAGCTCTGTAGCCAATAAGAGCAAACATCCAGCACTTGGGGTATAACTTCAAAATTAGGTGGCCCTTCTGGTTTGCTCCTATGCCCATGCGATTGTTTTGGAGGCTGTGCGCCAGTATTATTTGGATAGAAAGGAATCCATTCCATTTCTTCGCAAACAACCTACACAGTACAATTTCCATGATAAGACATCAAAATAGCTGGAGGGCGTTTTGGCCGATGATTTTGTTTTACGCCTACCTCTACATACAGTTGGTATGAACTGATGGCTGAAAGTTGAGGATAGTACAGGACGCTTCCCCCAATCAGATGCCTAAATCAAAGAAGTAAACGAGTATAAGTCAAGAGTGAGATAGGAAAAGAAAAAACTTACAAAACTTATTGGGAATGGAAAACAGGGTGAAACAGTGATATTGTTACCTAACAAGGTCCTCCAAAGGATTTTCTAGAGAATCAAAACCATTTGCCGCTAAATAGGACTGAGTGCTTCTGCCTAAGGCAATGAAGAATCCAAAAATTGCTAAATCCCTCTCCAAAACCTGCAAGTCACTGACGGGTCCTAATTAACTCCAGAAGATTTATACACTAGTATACTGCCACAATTCTTAGGTGTGTCCTCTGGACGTTTCTTAATTCCTAATTCTTACCTCTATACTTTCGGATGTTGTTAACCTTGCCCATATTTTCTCCCGATCTATCGCTCGCTGCAGTTGTTTCTGTATAAGATCGATCCAGAAAACAACTTCAGCTGTAGCAAAGTCACCTTTTACTGTGCCCAATGCTGCGCGAGGACCAAAATGAGTAAGAAATTCTCTTTGTAGGCCAATGCTTTTGATTGAATGATAGGCTTGAGGGAGTGGAACGAAGTCTACAACTTTTTCCATCAATCTTCCAGTTGTGTCTGGAAGCGACGAAAAGAAGGGCGGGCAGGAAAATTTTGCCGGGCCAAGTTTCGTGATTGCTGCAATGCAGTTGAGTACAAGCATGAGAAGTGACACCTCAATATCATTACTTACAGCTGAGGACTTTCCTTTTGTATAGCTGAAATGAATCAGAAAGCATCGTCACTTCATCAAAACTCCATAGTCAGACTAGAGTGTCACAGTACTTATTAGTAATAAGAGGTGTGTTTAGAGAAAGTTGAACCAAAAAGAAGGATATTTGAAAGAGAAAACGTACACAGAAGTGGCAGCAAGAAATCGTTGATCCCCCTCAATATAATTCACAAAAGATGTCACTACAGAAGGAACTTGCTCGGACCAAAACCATTCATAGGCTTCAGGATGTTTCGAAGATAGATTATCCCGCATCATACTCTCAAGGGGAGCTGCTTGGCGTGATAAGCTGTATAATGCCAAAATTTAAACATAAGAAGGGAACAAAAAAGAATTCAAACGTTAAGTGCTAGATAGCAACGACAATATTAATGTTAGTTGCCTCCAAAGGCTAAAAAGTTTGTATTCACTAGTTAACATAGCCATGTTCCATTCATAACTAACTTACTTCAGATAACTATCTACCAGCGAAAGTTAAAGAAACCTAAACTCTTGAGAAAGAAGAAGCTGAGATGATTAATAGGAAGCAAAAACAGAAAAGCAACTTGAGTTCGTGTCAAATTCCAATTTAAGTAAGGAAAACGCGCAGTACCTCCTTTGAACGAAGACGTTAATATCCTCGTCTCTGTTGTTTCCTCTAGATGAAATCTCATTTACCGCTTGTAATAAGGAGTACAGAGAAGCCTGTGAATCATGAACGTAACATGATTTGAGCAAATTGAAGACATAACATTGAATCAAGAAACACATATTTTTCAAGATGAAAGAGCATCATCATGAATATGAAAGTGTAACAAAAATGGCACGGACCTGATACGAAAGAGTCTTCGCCCATGCATTTCTATCAGCACCCAGCCAGGTAGCTGAAAACCATAAGAACCTGGACGGAGTAATCTTCTCTTTCACTGCCAACTCAATAGTTCTAGCAGCATCGTGCAAAGCCTGAATGAGTCCATTACAGTTGCTTTCGTCTTGCAGTGATCCGGTGAGATTAGCCCTCAACTTCTCAATATCACCACTAGATCTTGACTGGGGACTTCCATTAACAGCCACTCCATCATCACCAGATGCACGGAGAAAAGGCTGCACTAGCTTCCGTGATCTCTTTAGAGGTTTCCTATTAAGACTCCTTTCCAAAAATCCATATCTAACTAACAACTGGTTCCTAGGATTGCTCCAGCAATCTGATAAACAATCCAGATGTGCCGCCTTTTTGCAGGATATAAGAGTAACTATCGACATCCGCGGCTGACATTGATTCGAAGAGCTACAAAGGCGAGATTAATCATCAAACAGCCACCAAAATTCCTTGGAAAAACGAACTTATACTACTCTAAGTTCAATGGAAAACAACTGAATTAAACAATAATTCTATCAACATCAAATCCTGACACAATTCGGGAAGACATATACACCAAATACCATATGGTATAGCTTAAAATAATTGTTCAACTCCTATTTGCTCTTCGTCACTTGTAATCTTAAAAATCATTTACAATTTTTAGTCAAGATGCAAATTTTTACCCAAAAAAAAAATCTAAAATTATCAGTGAGGGTATAAGCGAAATATGCGCAGGATCATCTTCAGGAACAATCGCGAATGAGAGTAACTAGTCAATAGTAATGAATAATTGAAGATCGTCGGAGGGAAAATTCCCAAATTATTCCCACTAAATTTCACGGAAAGATGAGAAAATTGAAAGGGAATTTGCAGCAATTTCTGTGTTACCTTGAAGATAGAAGACCAGGTCGTTGAATTTGAACTGCCATCTACATGAAAATTTTACTAAAAACCAGCGGGAAAATATTTCGACGATTATGATTGGTGAGAAAGTGGAGAAGATTGACGAGAAAACGAATCATTTAGTGAAGAAGAAGAAGAGGAAGAAGAGGAGGTGACGTGGCACCAGGAAGGCTTTTTATCCTTAACAGAGGAATATCACAGAAACTATTTCCCAATTGAACCCTGTCAACATCCAATTAAATCACGCCAGTTAAGGTCATTTCTCTGCTGTTCTCCGTAGCATTATCATTCCCGGCCTTTCGGAATCTTAAAAAATTACATAGACGATGCGACGACGTCATGTAAACTAGGCATGGTCATAAAAACCGACCGAAGGACCCGATCCGGAACCGACCCGAAAAAAATGGATCCGAACCGAACCGGAATAGACATAAATATCCGAACGGATCCTAACTCCTATACCCGAAAGAACCGGATCCGAACGGTACCGACCCGAAACCGAATGGGTACCCGAAATATCCAAAATATAATTATATTCCTAAAAATGTTTAGTTATGTTTAGTCTTAAAATAACTAAAATATTTAAAATTACAATTATTAACCAAATATATTGGTTATATTTAGCACAAAATAACCAAAATAATATATCAGAATATATTTGATTATATTTTGTAATATTTAATATGTTTTATAAAATTTAACTCAATTTTATTTAAATTAATTTTTTTTTTTTTTATCTTTTATAGCTAAAGTTTGGGTACCCAGAACCGACCCGGACCCGAGAGGAACCGATCCGGATCCGAACCGACTATGACACGGTTCCTATATGGATAAAAAACTTTTATATCCGTAAGACCCGGAACCGAAAGAACCGACCCGAAACCGATCCGAGTACCCATTATGCCCAGGCCTAATGTAAACAAATTTAGGAGATATTTCTTAATTATATAATCAGTTCAATAATTAAGGTTAAGAAGATGAAAAGATGAAATTGAGAAAAAACATTTCATTTTTTTTTTCACAATTCACAAAAGCAGAGCTACAATCAATCACACTTTCACTTTCCTTTTGTAAAAAGGATTTAATACAAAATGCATAAGACAAGATGAGTAATTACAAACATGACAATAGTGGAAATGTATTTACAGGAGTTTGATTAGTGACTTTTGAGAGCGACACCGGAGAGGACGACGAGGATGGTGAAGAAGACGACGGCGATAAAAGAGGAGACAACAGCTCCGCTGGTTTTCTGACAGAAGTCACCAAACTGTTGGCAAATGGGGAGCCAGTTCGTGTTCTGGTTTCCACTGTGTGCTAGATAAGCAATCGCCGCCGCCGATGATGCAGCCGACGCGTTCAACACCAGAACCGCCTGTCCCAACACAAGTACATATACACATTAATTCTTAGTATTTTACTTTATACTAAAACAGAATCTAAAGAGTTTTTGAGTATTTACAGTGTCAAGAACAAGCAAGAGGAGTCTTGGAGCGGCGGCGTGAGGGCGAACGATGGTGACGACGGAGAAAGGAAGAGACAGGACGAGATATCCTGCGACTATGGACATGGCAATCACAAAGAACCTGAAAAATAACACATGACCTAATTAGGTGACTTGCTGCACAAGGAAAACGTGTAATTGTTAAAACATATACAAGTCGTAAGTCGTAACTGGAAAGTTGGTAGATCGTCGTAGCCAGCTTGGAACTGTAAGAACTGTGTGAAGAATGGAAGAGTCTCGTCGCTTGTAAACATGGTTGCAGCGGCGACTGCTGCTGCAACAATGGCAGCTAAACGGAGGAGGAAGTCGAAGATTGAGACACCTCTCTTGTATCCACCTGAGCCTGTAGCAGTGTGGCTTTTAGCCACACCGAATAGAGGAGCTTTGCCTTTCATGGCTGAGCTAGATTCTGCATGGACATCAATGACTGTAGCTTCGTTCTTCATATCTCTTGATTTGTTTCTTGAGAGACTTGGTCTTCTGTGTTGCTTTGAAAGGGGATGCAAAGAAAGTTGATGCTTTGGTTTGGTGGTGAAGGACAGTAATGGGATTGGGGTTTTTTATAGGAATTTTAGGGTTTTGGTGGAATCAATGGAGCAGAAGAAGTGGGGATGGAAGAGTAGTTGATTACTTTTTACTCTCTCCACAACTAATTAATTAAAGAGATAGAGTGAGTTGGCAACATAATTAAGCAAATAATACAAGTCAACATTTTATTAGTGTTTTCAGAATTTTTAAAAGGACTTTTAAAAAGGCAACTCTTATCTGATTTTTATAGGGTTTAAGCCTAAGCAGGAAGTTTCAAGTACTAAATTATATAAGAAGCAGTTTAGGCACTGAAAAGCTTTGGCTATAACTATATTTACTATCGTATGATTCATCATCCAACAACACATGAAAACAAGCAACCCTAAAAAAGTCTTAAACCCTAATTGATACAACAACTTGATCTCTCAAAAGAGAGAAAAACTCCAAATCCACTTCCACCTAATGACTTCCCAAGAATCATATAACCCTAAACTAAGAGCGTCAAGAGACAGAACATAAAAAAGAAGAAGTGGTTTACTACTCTTTTTACCACACAAGCAGTAATCTAAAAGTCTAGTTCCTATAGTCTTGGAAGAAAAAAGGGAGGAAGAAGATCTCATGGACTCTCTTTCACATCTTTTTTTTTTTTAATTTCACAACATAGCTTGATTTCGCCGGTATCTGTCCTTCTCCTGTTTTGGAGTTTAACTAGTGGACTCCACTTTCTTTGAGAGCTGCACGGATTGGGTAGGTAAAGAGGACGGTACAGGAGCAGAACCATTGGCCTTGAGGGAAGGAGTGGCTTCTCCAGTACCGTTGAGTCTTGACGTAACCAAGTCTTTTGAGATTAAAGGATCTTCTTGGACTTCTTTTCGCAGCATTTCCATTCGTCTTGAGGACGGTACTTCACCTTTGCAGTACTTTCTCCACATACTACGGTACGCGGATTCAAGAGCAACAGCAAAGGAAGGACCGTTGCAAACAGGGGATCCCGCCATCAGATCCCGGAGACTCATTCTCAACTCGGAAAGAGCTGTGACATCAGAGGCTAGATCAACAGATAACTGAACATACTCATCCTCATCTTTGGCAACCAGGTGTCCCAATCCTGAATCAAGAAATGGTTGTGATAAGCTAAAAGATGTCCTCTGTCATAACCACTTTTGGCAAGAAACTAAACTTTACTGAGAACTTACCAACTTTACTGAGAAGACTGACACCAACATTATGAGCATGTACTGAACCAGCCATTGTAACACATGGAACTCCCATGTAGAGAGATTCACAGGTAGTGGTAGTTCCAGCATAAGGGAATGTGTCCAAACTGCATGAAATGTAAATCATACTCATATGTAAATCTATTAGCCTCGAAGTTTTTTCAGTAGTACAGTGTGTCAAAACTTACCTTATATCCATCAAGGAATAAGCTTGCATATGGTCGTGGTTGAACAGAATCAGCGGCAAGAGATCAACACGCTTTGATTCTAGCCCAAGCTGCTCCAGCGTCGAGAGAAACCTCTGCCTAATGCTATCGCAGCAGAAAGGTTTGCATTTTACCACCAGACGAGAATTGGGAACTGCACACAGTATCCTAGCCCACACTTGCAGCACCTTAGGGGTGATCTGATTGCAGATACACAGAGATAAACCCGTCAAACCATCAAAAGAGATACTATGGGAAGTTCGTTAGGTGTATGATCCAAGGCCAAGTATATCTAACCTTTGCGAGATTGTTGAAACTACCAAATGTGACAAAGCCATTGGAAAGGGCGGGTGTCGGACAAACAGGACCAGCCTCTGGGGAAGGTGTATAACAAAGAAAACAGTCCGGCAGCCTAACCAGCTCTTCGACCTGTCTGCAATCAAATACACACAAAAAAAAGGAAATACTAAGGATTCCATTTGGATCACTTAAAACTCAACAAACATCATTCTGCAATGAACCAGAACGTACTTCTGTTTGGTATCTGGTGGATCAGCCAACGAATCCGTAATCCTGTAATCAACAGTGGGCAACCCTGTAGTATTTGGATAGCCGATCCAAGTAACCTGATATTTCAACCAATTAAAGTAATCTTCAAATGGAGTTGCAAAAATAAATATCTAAAAGAACATCATGAGAGTGTTATCTATCTCACCTGAACAGGTGCTGGTCTGCAGGCCAATGTTCCCAACTTGTTGTTCGCCGTATGACCAGTGAGTTCAACCAAAATGTCGATTTTATCTTCTCGGACCATACTTGCAATCTTTTTCTCATCTATCCCGTATATCTCTTTCCATTCTCCACCTTTCTTCAACACTTTATCCCTAAACCTGTATGTTTTTGCATCTGCCTGCAAACCATGAGAGAGAAATGATTGCTCAAAGTGAGAAAATGCCACGATAAACAAGCAAATGAACTGCTTTGACGGAGAATGTGTTTTTACAAGGAGAAGTTTTTTCAAGAAAAATCATACCTTAACTACCGCTGAATAAACCACCACTTTGTACTTTGTGTAATCATGATGCGTGAGGGGCGCTTCAATGAAATAAGATACAGAGTGAGTGAAGAAGTCTGGTGAGATATATCCAATGGTGATAGGTCGTTCTGGATCTTTCAGATTGTCCCATGAAGTGTACTGTGGGTGTAATCTTGTGAAGCGCCAACCCCAGTCTCTGTGTTCAGAAGCATTTTTCATTGTAAGTCCCACAATAGCATTAGAACACAAATCCAAAGTAATAATATATGTTCTAACCTGTGAGCCTCAAATAGCTTGTCATCGAGTCCTTCATTGATGTAGTTCATGGCAAGCAATCGGTTCTACACATACAGGAAAGGTAGGTTTCAAACACGTATATCTTTCAGCGTCATATCAAGAAGAGCATGTTACAGTCCAGATATTGCATTTACCTGGCCAGCATTCCGAGAATCTGGATCTATCTTAAGGCACTCCTCATAAGCATCAATAGCCATAGTTATATTTCCAGCATCCCTGTAAAGAACACCTGCATTCAAATCATACCATGAAACTGGTTAAAAAATAGGAACTAAATGAAACTTGGCACCAGGAAGGTAGAATAAAGAAAAACATCAAATCAAAAAGTTAAGGGAATATAACTTCCGAGCACTGTTAACTTTAAAAGCTTGTAAGGTTCAAAAGTGACGAAAATCAGACCTAAGTTGTTAAAAGCTTCTGCATAAGTGGGATTTGCAAGGATGGCCTTCTCGATCATGCTGGCGGCAGCATCCATTTTCCCCTATAATATCAGAGGAATTAGCATTTCATTGACTCTGGAAATACAATTAAGGAAACATTGATCCGCCCTTAAGAGAATATCAAACCTGGACTGTGTAGACAACACCAAGGTTATTAAGCGACTGTGCGAAGTTTGGTTTGATTGATAGAGCCATCTACATAGGTAGGGAGATTTTATAAGCCACAAAACACAACGAAATACTCATGAAATGCTGCGTATATCCTAAAACAAAAAAATTACCTGATAACACTCCACAGCTTTATCAAGGTTGTCACGGTCTTTGTAGAGTACTCCCAAATTGTTGCACGCCTCGGCACAATGTGGATTGAAGTGGAAAGCAAGCTCATAGAAGACAATTGCCTGCACATAGAGAGCGCAATCATGACCACAAACATATTTCATTCTTTGGCTCTACATTTCTCATTCTAATAATTAGGAATTTACATCCAGAATTCTGTATTAATTACGATAACATGAATAAATTACAAATCACATACCATGTCAAACTTCAGCATTTCACCATAAGCCACCCCAAGATTATACATAGCATCTGCATAGTGCCAGTTATAATAAAGAGCCTTCTTGTAATATGCCACTCCTTGGCTCACATCGCCTTCAAGTTTAACCTGAATTATCATTGTCAACTCAGATATACTCACAGCTGGACTGTGAACTACAAAACCAAAATCTATTGCGGAATCTTCACTAATAAAGAAAAACATATTCCAATGACAATGCCGCGCATAAGTAAAAAGCACATAGAGCACAAAGGCCAGCTAAACAAAACGAAGCTTATAAAGAATTTTCAAGAAGGCATCCTTTACAAAAGTTATACTTGTGTTACCGGAATTTGATAAAAGTTGAGGAGTGTTGTTACCTTTGTTCCTAAATCTGTCAGAGCTATGGCCATATTGTTCTTCGCAATCTCAAAGTTTGGAGATACAGCTAGACATCTAAAGGCCGAAGAAGAAAACAAAAAAACTCAGTACCACACTTGTACCTTCAATAAAATAGCAAGAGAAAGAAAAAATTAGCTACGAAATAGGAGATATGTTACCTCTCGTAACAAGTAATGGCCATCTCCAAGTCACCACGGTTCTTATAGATGACACCCATGTTACAATATGCTTCAGCATACATAGGCCTCTCAAGTGCAGCCTTCTCGTAGCAGCCCAAGGCACTGTCATATTGCATCATTTCAGAGTACACGACACCTAAGTTGTAATACGCAGGCTGCATAACGACATTACAGCATCAGTTAAATGGTGACTAGGGCAATCCACATAAAGCAGAGTGAATAAACTAAAAGGATCAGAAAATTACAGCATAGTGCGGGTCAATCTTAAGGGCTTCGTAATACTTCTGAATTCCCTCCTGAGTATTACCAGCAAGCTTCAGGCTAGTTCCAAGGTCGGTCAAAACAATGGCTAAACACTCCGCTGCTGGCTTGTATGATGCGTCTGCCATTAGTGCTTTCTGGTAGGACTGTGCAAAAGTAGGACGATTTTAAGTTAGAAATCGCCTACTAAGAAATCATCAAGATAACTAAATCAGTACAGATGGAGGGTAAGTTAATGTCAGACCTCAGCAGCTTCTACAAGACGTCCTTCTTCTTTATGAAGTATACCACAGTGTGTGAGGGCACAAGCATTATGCGGATCCAACCTGATTGCCTCAGAAAAACAATCCAATGCTAGATTCCCTTTGTTCTGCGTCTGCAAGCATATCCCTTTTCCAATTTGAGCTTCAACGTTCTTGCTATCTTTCTCCAGCATAGTCTCATAGAGAGCAAGCGCATCAGCAAACTTGTTTCTTGCCCGGAGAATGTTGGCATAAGAAAGCGAATCATTTCCTTGAGTGGTCTTCAGTGATGGAGCCAAAACATCATTGGTAGGAGAAGACTGAGACCCATTGGAGAAACCATTCTCTACGACTGGTGACGTCTCTCTCTCAGTATTATCTTCCAGCCCAACCATTTCTTGAACTTGAAAAGCTTGTTCACCTTCAAGGAAACAATTGAAAAAACGCAGTAAAGCTTAAATCTTGCACTCTTGACTTAAAAAATTGAAGCTCCGGTGAATTAAAAGAATTGATCTTTTACAGTACCAAACCCAGCTCATCACATTCAAAATCCAAAAACCCTATGATCACACAACTGGAGAAAATTAACCAAGAGAGACACGAAAAATCCAATCTTTAAAGTAGAAATTAGCGAAAAGATAATAAACCCTAGAAATTAAACCAAAAGAAACGACTAAGCAGGAGAATGCATCCGAAATTAAGAGTAAAAGACCAAGGTGCGATAAATTAGGGTTTAACGAAAACTTACCGCAGAGCCTGAAAAAGAGGAACTTGCAGCTGTAGTGATGAGACTCTGCAACCGCTAGAGACGGAATTGAGCGGCTAAAGAAGAAGAATGATAAAAGCGAGTAGACATGGGAGAGTCTGATCTCCGCCTCGCTCCTCCGAAAACAGAAAGCGTTGATCAGTAGCAACTTATTAGGGATTTATATGCCTCACAAGAAGCCAAGCCCAAAGCCCAAGCGGTGGAGTATTCACTTGGCCGTGAATGGGCGGAGCGGAGGCGGAGGTGGCGACGGCGTAACCACTTTGCTCGGGGACAAGACAAGCAAAGGTACGAGGTCGGTCCGAGCCAGCTGACAGAGGCAATGACTCAGATTAGCTCTCCTGGCTTGTTTTTTTTTATCTTAATAAAATGGTTTATTAAAACAGACAAAATAGGAAATAGTAATATTTTATTTTTAAAATGGCATGAAATCATCAGTCATGTGATATAGAAAGTATTTATTGCACAGAAAAAGAAAGTAATTATTTGAATTTCTTTTTATGTTAAAAATAAAACATCTGAGTTTTTATTTTCTCTAGACTCTTGAGCCAAAAAAACTCAAACTAAAGCTTAATAGTTAAAACCTTAAACCAAATGAAATGCAATGTACTTTTGCCTGTCAATTTGAACATTTACGATTATTAAAATTATGGTACAAATGAATAAAAATTTGTTGATATTCCAATCTATGCAACAAATGAATCAGTGTATTTTGAAGAAGTAAATCTCAATATATAGTTATAAGCATATTCACCCTTAGACTAGTTTTAATTATAAAGGATCTGTTAAAAAAAGTAACGTTCTATTTAGGCAAAAAGAAATCAAATTATAAGTTGGAATTGTGATTAAAATCCCACCCAAACTGTAGAAATGACTCGCGCGTGCAAACAAGTGGGCGATGAAGAGAGAAGATCCACAAGTGGCGTCAAAAATAGTTAGAGGATCATGTCGGCGTCCACTTGCGTTCGCGTTCCTACCTCTTTGATCACCAATTTTTTTTGTCTCTCAACTAGTGATTGCAAAACCTATATTCAAAACATCGGAAATCATTAATTGAGCGGTCGGATCAGGATTTGGGATTTTTCTAAAAACAGAGATTAAATAAAAATTAAACGGAGATGAAATTTTAACTATATTTTATATATTTTTATACATTTGCTTATATGTAACTATATAAAATAACACCTTAATTGAGAAATCGAGCATAGTTGTACTGTATCCAATTATCTCTTTATTTATTTTAGTATTGATTAAGAAATAAATTTAATAAAATAAACAAAATAAAATTAAAAGCCCTAATTCCTTCTTCTCCTTCGTCGCTTCCCAGTCCCGCCGCACCATCTCTCCTCCAGTAAACAAATTTTAGTTGCTTCAGATTTAAAACTCAAATTCATGATAAAATCTTTTGATAGATTAACCACTTATATACACAGATCTGAGTCATTTGATAAATCTGATTAACCACTTATAGATTAACCAAAATATCATATTTTCACTAATTTAATTATGATGAATGGCTCGGATTCAGAATCAGAATCTGAATCTGATTACTCTGATTGTTAGGAGAGTGAGGGTGAGAGGAGGAGGAGGAAGAGGAAGAGAAGGGAGAGGGAAGAGAGAGAGAGGAAGAGAAAGAAGCTGAGAGAAAGAGAAGAAGAAGAAGAAGAGGAAGTCTGAGAAAGGAGTTGATGGAGATAAGAAGAGAAAAGAGAAGAAGAAATGTGAGAAAGGGAAGAAAGGAGCCGTCACTGAATCATGAGCTCTTACATGGAACTTTACAATGTTGAGATTGAATTCGAGAATCTTGCTGATCTCGCAAAGGAAAGTAGCAGATTTGGCTTTACCGATTTTGTTATTACACAGCATTTTGAAGAAAAAAAAGGGGTTTCATTGGTCGTTGACCGTTGACCAATATGGACCACACGATTAAGCTTAATCGAACGGTGGCCGTCCGATGCACGATTTTTTTCACGATTAAACGGCGTTTTGACCGTTTTTTTGAACACATGTTGCAACTACATGTCAATTAATCCTGTATTAATCATTGGAGACTATGCTATTTTTATTTTCTTCAACTATTAGATTATCTCTCTATGATTTTTAAAAATTGGACTATGCTATTTATTATACGATTACTCAAAAAGAAACTTAACTATTTCATGCAAACAAAAATATATTAACGGGTGAAGTTACCAAATTGGGTTTGGGTATGAAATTGTTTTGGTTTGTTACGTAATGTATCTCCCCATTTCTCACCCTCTTTCTCCCGTTTTCCTTTAACGTAACCTAGTGTAACCCTAACAAAGTGAAGTGAGCATGCTCTGACTAAATTTTTCTCCCCCTTCGATTCTCCACCAAAGATAGTTGAAACTCGAGGAAAGATCCGTAATTTCTACTTACATTGACAAAGAAAAGATCAAAGCCATCATGGATTCGGATTTGGATAAATGGATATCGAATGTTATAGACGACCCAGCTCTCGACGAGAAGGAGTTTGAGCTTCTATGCTCTAAAAACGTACGCCTTCTTCGTTATTTTTACTTCCATCTCTTCTGCGAAGATTCATGACCCAATCTTTTGTGGCTTTAGTTTTCCCTGCTTGGTTTGCTTTCTTGTCTTTGTGTAGCTTTACTCGAACCTACTCGGTATTTTACTGTTTCCTTTGTCAATTTGGTTTATGGATTTTAGGTTTTTCTCTCATTTTCTTCAACATAAGACTGTTTGAAATTGTTAGCCTATTTTGCCTTACTTTTGTTTATAGCATGATTGTTGGGAACTCTTGTTAACTTGTAGCTCTTTTGTAGTCGATTTGTAATAAAAAAAATGTTCTCTTCTGTAGTCAATTGCTTGCAAATTGTTAGAAACCGGGCGTTATGGCCTTCTTTTATATTTCTCAACAGTTGGTTTAATTTTCATGGAAATGATTTGCTTTTGCTTAAGATGCATTTGTAATCAAAACATGTTCTCACACTGAAACGTTTATGTTTACAGGGCAAAACATTTAGCATCCATAAACCAAATGGAGCTGGAGCTGTCTTCTCTGCTACGAGGGATGATCCGATGAGCCTTGTTAAGATGACCCCACCTTCAATCAATCAAACCCCACCCGCACCTCCTGGGCCTGATTTCAGTTCTAAGGTTTGTGATAAGATCCAAAGCTTTAACAATGTTATATTTAACAATGCTATCATCTTTGTTTTTGTTTTGTTTTTTTTTTTTTTTGTTTCAAGCAGCCTATAGAAGGTTGGATCGATTTAGAAAATACAGCCATTCCACGTAAATTTAATCCCGATGCAGTATACACAACCTTACAAAAAGGGTTGAAAGAAAGAGATCTGAATGGAACTTTGCATATAAGATGCTATTTTGGTTATAAATACAGTCTTAAACACATAAATTTCTTAAATATAGAAACATTCGATGCAGAAACACTATTGAATCATGGTAGGTTGTGTGTTTTTTTGGGTGATATGTTTTGTTTTTGTGATTTTTTTGTTCTTTTCCAAATATGTGGTTTTTGTTCAGATCCTGCTCGGAGGGAAAAAAAAGACCAGCTAGCAGATAAAGCTATCTCACAATCGATTCTTGAGTGGCTTGCCGAGAGGAATGAGCCGCAAAACCTGATAATATTCAGTGCAGATGTAGGTTTTGGTGCTATGTTAGATAGGGCTGGTGCAGTAGGACACCATGTGTATATATGTAGAGAAAAAGAAATTCCATGGAACAATAAAGTAGCTAGTGAAAACAAGATGGATGACTTAGAAATGTAGTATTCACAAATTTAACTAATTCAAAGGTTAGCAATATCACATGTGAGTGCAAATTTAACTAATTCAATGGCCTAAATTTCGACAGAGTCCATAAATCGATCGATAACCGTGAAAGCCCAATTATAACGAAAATAAAACGAAACTAAACCAAACCAAAAGGATTGGGTCAATTAAAAGAAAAATAAAACCAATTTTGGCCGGTCATACTTTGAGACACGGAGTTTCGATTTTGCTCCCAATCTCTCTCTCTCTCGTGGTAACATAGGAATCCTCACATTTTCTACACAGTCACCGGCGATCGGTCAAGAGTCGATCTCCGGTCATCAGAAAATTTCCAGTCGCGTACATGGCGATGACTATCGAAGGTAAATTACCTCTCTCTCTCTCTCTCTTTCTCTTGAATTTTTTTTCCCTGACGGAATCGGATCGGATTCGAGTTGATTTGCCCCATCTCCATTTCTCCTTGCTTCGAATTCACATCTTCCGTACGTTTAGATATGCAGAATTACGACCCTCTTTATAGTGTTTACGCATGGTTTTGAGCTTCGATTTACTCAGATTGCGGTTGTTAGGGCTTTCATGATTTGTGAATTTTGTGAGCTTGGGTTTCTGGGTTTTGAATTGTTCAAACTCACTCATTGTTTGCTGTTTTTTTTTGTTTTTCTTCATTTTCCATATGCGGATTTCTTCTGGAATGCTCAAATTGCTGATTTTGGTACAGTGTAAGTTTACGATTTGAAGCTCTTGTATTACTTTGTTGTTACATTCGAGTGTATTTCTCGCGATCTTACTGATCTATTTTTTTTCTTGATACACAGACTTGCTGGACTCGCCTTCATGTTTTCTTCTAGTATCCTCCTACAGATTGTGGTACGTTTCAGTATAGCAGTCTACTTATATCTCTTTAGGCCTGATCATAACTTGTGCTTGCTCAAGATCTTGACTTATTAGCTTTAGATAACACTTGGATCATTCTTCTCATATGAACATATTGTTTGGTTAGTTAGTCGTGTGATTTCTTGTCACACCTTATTGTAAATGGTCAGCTAATCCAGCTGTGAACTTGCAAGCTGACTAATCCAAACAGAGTTGTGATTTTTGATCCATTTCATATTTCAAAGTCTTGAGCTTTTCTCTCGTGTATGTTGATTAACTAGCTCTGGACCCCAAAATAACATTTAGAATCGGTATCGTTGTCTCTAACACTAAACTACCTAGAGATTAGTATATCGTAAGCTGAAAATGTAACTATTCAGATACTTATAATAGCTAAAGGAAGATATAACCGAGACTAGCTTAGTGTGTAACTTGCTAATGACTTAGACTTTCTGAAAAACTTTTCAAGCAAGTCATATAAGGTCCTTACTTAAGTCTAGTTATTATTTTGCAATTTTCAATTACAAGAAGCAAGGATCATCAGTAGTTTACATGTTTGATAAGTTTATCATACCTTGTGATTCGATTCCCTTCTAACTTTATTGTATCATTCAATGGTCAGGCGTGCGCGATATATAGTAACTGGTGGCCAATGCTATCAGCACTCATGTATGTGGTTGTGCCAATGCCGTGTATGTTCTTTGGAGGAGGCTCAACCCAATTCCTTATTAGTCGAGATGGTGGAGGGTTAGTTACTCTTCACTTCACTTTTAGCTCAAGTTTTACAAAAACACCAGTGTACCATAATCTGAGTGGTTGTTAAAAACGCAGGTGGATAGATGCAGCTAAGTTCTTGACAGGAGCATCGACCGTGGGGAGCTTGGCGATCCCAATCATATTAAGGCATGCACAGATGATCGAGACCGGTGCAATGCTCATTGAGTTCACATCCTTCTTCATATTCATTTGCACCGTCATGTGTTTTCACCGGGCTAGCCTCGATGATGATTGGTAACAACAGAGAGGTTGTTGCTGGTAATCTACTAATCCGATTCGCATGGGAAAGAGAGAAGAGAGTTAGTATTCAAGAAGATGATATTATAATGTGATCGAGAAAAAAAAAAAAAAAAAAAAAAGATGATAGAGACGACTCTACTCCCTCTTTTGTAAATCTTTTGTATCAATCTGTGTAAAAATGTCTTTTAGTCATCATCGTGAATGTGATGCTACTTTGTGTTTCTTATATACGTTTAAAGTTTAAACAAACAAAAAAAAACACTTTAAACAAAGTAAAAAAGAAAAAAACAGATGTGATTCTCTTTGCACCACTTATAATATCAAATAAAAATTGGATTGATAAAAAGAAATGCAAATGACAATATTTTTCATCCCCTTGAATCACACTAAAACATGTGATTTCTTCTCTTTGTTATTACTATGCCTGGAAACACACTCAAGAAAAAATTATTAAACTTTTAAAAACTTCGCGCCTAATTACTATAAATGTATAACAGTGATGTAAGAGAATGGGCTCCTCCATGAAATTTCTCAGTATGCAAGATCTGTGATAATCAGACTGAAAGGATGAGAACATAAAAACTATTATAATAAAATAGCCATGAGGAAATTATGTGCTCAAGTTAAAATGATTATTGAATCATCAATCTGAAAATCTTTTGCCGACGACTTTTGAGTTTTGACATGAGTGTTTTCATTTTGCATCTCTCAGGGTAAGAAAGAGAAACCCTCTCAACCTTCTCTTTACAGTCACCGGCGATCAGGTCAAGAGTAGATCTCCGGTTATCACAACTTTTTTCAGTCAAAGACATTGCCATGATAGACATCAAAGCCCAAGGTAGTCCTAGTTTCAGAACTCATTCTTTGGTAAACTTTTTTTTTTTGTTTATCTTAAGTTTTTTTTTTTTTACTTTTTCCGATGCGGATTTCTTTTGGAATGCTGGAATTGCTGTTGTTGTTACAGTGTAAGTTTAAGACTTCAAGAAGCTCTTTCTCCTGATATTTTCTTGTTTACTTGCATTCAAGTGAATTTTCGGTGACCTTTTTTATTTTATATTTTTGTTGATGCACAGATTTCCTGGACTTGTCTTGATGTTTTCATCTACTATCTTCCTTCAGATCCTGGTACGGCGGTATATTAAACTCTTTTAACTCCCTCATCATGATTAGTTGTGCTTCCTCAATAACATACCTAACAATTCATAATCTTCTATGACTACAAGCTTAGCTAATTAAGGCTTAGTTTAATTATAATATTCTTAGCATTTTTGTTTGGTTGCTCACTTGCTCTCGTCAGTGTGATTTAATAATTAATTCTTGTCACACCTTATTGTAGATGGTAATCTAATTAGTCTGTTGTGAACATGCAAGCTGCGTAATTTCGTATGAAGCAATAGTCATGTCATGTGAGACATGTAACGATAACTATTTGTTGTTTCTAATGAATGGTCAGGCGTGCGCCATATATAGTAACTGGTGGCCAATGCTATCAGCGGTCATGTATGCGGTTGGGGTTGTGGCTGTGGCTATGCCTTGTGTTCTCCTTGGACGAGGATGCTCAAACCAATCCCTAACTGATCCAGACGGTATAGGGATAGGGTTAGTTAATTAACTAGAGACTTATATATTTTGATACCTTACATCACACGAAACAAACATGTTTTTACCAAAAGATTAACAAAAAAGACAAGATTGATTTCTTGTTAGGTGGATGGAAGCAGCTGAGATGTTGGAAAAAAGGGAAAGAAAAGGTGCAGCTAAGTTCTTGACCGGAGCATGTACCGTGGGAGGCCTCGCGATACCGATCATATTAAGGCACGCGCAAATGATCGAGACCGGTGCAATGCTCATAGGCTTCACATCCTTCTTCATATTCATTTGCACTCTCATGTGTTTTCACTGGGCTAGCCTCGGTGATGATTCTTAGTGTACGTACGGAGATATGTTGGACGTTACTTGTGCTTTACTAAATTTGATTCTAATGAGAATGAGACAGGAGAGAGTTTAAGTGAGACGAAGATGATCGATGTTATTGTGAAGAAAATTAAACTGTCCATGTAGTAATATCTTCTCTTCTCCCTATTTTTTAAAGCTTCTCAAAGAATCATATATGATGTTATATATGGTTAGGATTTAAGTTATGTGAAAATGTTATGGTTAGGCTTTAAGTGGATGTGAAAATGTTATGGTTAGGCTTTAAGTGGATGTGAAAATGTATTACAAATTAACAAAGCAGTTGTTTGTTAACTCCATTTTTAACTAATCAATCAATGGTGGTTTTGTCTTTAAAGGGAAGAGAATATAAAATGTTTATCCTGACATCAGTCCTATCCTACATTTGGATTTTATTTAGATGAGAAACAAATGATTAGATTATATAACGTGTTTCATGCAGAGAGATTTTTTTTTTTTTTGTTAAAGATCTTAGAGAGATTTATTACACTCTAGATGAAAGAGAAAATGAATCTGAAAATACTGAAAATGGATAGAGATGCTATTGAGTATTGACTATTTATTACTCACTCTGTTTTAAATTAATTGTCGTTTTGGCAAAATGTATCTGTAAATATTTGGACGTATCTGCAATACAAAACACGTCCATATACGTTCAAATATTTGCAGATACATTTTGCTAAAACGACAACTAATTTGAAACGGAGGGAGTATTTTATTTGATTTACTGAGGAAATGATGGAAGAATGGTAGAGCCAAAGTCCCTAAAATGATTATTAAATTAAAATCGGAAAATCATTTTCATATACTCTTCTCTATTTGACGATGACGTTGACACGTTGTTCGGTTTTTGCTCTTCTGAGTCTTCTCTCTCTCGATCTCTGTGTGACAATTGACAAAGAATTCGTCATCTCTCTCTTTACGCTCACCGGCGGTCAAGAGTCGATCTCGGGTAATCAGTTTTAAAATTTTGTCAGTCGCCGTCATCGGGATGACCATCGAAGGTAGTTCATCGATTGTTTTCTTTACCTTTCGTTAATTTTGTGAGGTTTCTTGGGGTTTCAAATGTTTAAACTCAATCATTAACAGTTTTTTTTTTGTTGCGGATTTCTTCTGGACTGCTCAAATTGCTGTTTTTTTTTTTTTGCTATACAGGGTAAGTTTCTGTTTACTTTGTTTGTTACATCAGACGAGCATGTATATTCGTGGTTCTTACATATCTTTATTTTTCTTGATGCACAGACTTTCTGTACTTGCCTACATTCTCTCAGCTAGTGTCCTCTTACAGATCTTGGTACAGTTACTTTTACTTTTAAGCCTGAATCATAATAATTATGTTGTGTGTTTTGCGATCATATCATATATGTACAAGTACAACAAACATAGGAGAAATGTTTACATTTTCACAAAAATAAAACATATGATTTGTATAATCTAGTTATACTGTATATTTGGTCAGGCGTGCGGGTTATATGGTAACTGGTGGCCAATGCTATCAACACTCGTGTATGTGGTTGGGCCTATGCCTCTTTTGCTCTCTGGAGGAGCACCACAATCCTCAACTGGCCCAGACGGTATAGGGTTAGTTCGCTATATGCTTTTTAACTTTATTTTTTTTAAGTTACCTAGAAACTTTATTTACTACAAATTATCTACCGTTTACCATATTGGAGAGTATTGGTTTAGTATGGTTTACTTCAATCGTAAATAGGTTCGGTTAGACCTGAGTATATATTACTACTGTACAGTGTATTTCATTTCGAATAAGAGAGAAAATATCTTTAACAAACTTTTAGCTCAAGGTATCTTTCTCTCTAGATTGTAATATACTCCCTCTGTCTCATATTATAAGCAGTTTGCCAAAATGTATCTGCAAAAAGGTGGATGTATCTAGACATTATTACATCCAGATACATCCACTTTTTTACAGATACATTTTGACAAACTGCTTATAATATGGGATAGAGGGAGTACCTACCAAATTTAGTTTGCTTCTTCTTCTTCTTAAAAATAATAACGCAGGTGGATGGAAAGAGCTGATTTGTTGTTGGTTAAGAGGCAAAGAAAAGATCCAGCAGAGTTCTTGACTGGAGTATTGACCTTGGCAAGCCTCGCCACTCCAATCATATTAAGGCACGCACAAATCATCGAGACTGGTGCAATGCTCATTGCTGTCACAACCTTCTTCATTCACATAATTTTCACTCTCCTCTTCTCTCACCGGGCTAGCCTCGGTTTTGCTGGCTGATTTACTGTTTTGATTCGAATTAGAAAGAGAGAGAGAATAGTGTTTAGTTCATTAATAAGGCCCTTCATAAATACAATCGAAATCTCGTTATATAAAACTCTTTTAAATCCCTGGTCATGGTTAGTTGTGCTTCCTCAATAACATAACTAGCTAGGCTTTAAGTGGATGTGAAAATGGCAGAAAATTTCTTTGTTATTTGTAATCATTTTCACATCCACTTAAAGCCTAGCTATAACAATATTGGCTAATAACACTGCCATGGCACCTTTCAACTTGTTTCACGCAGAGAGATTAATAAAAATGAAGAATTTAGCAACATAAGAAAAATAAAATAAAAACGATGGAGAGGAAAAGATTGCGATAGTCATCAGTTTGAAAGGAAGAGTACACCGACTGTTTCTTCAGAACAAAAAAAATAAAAATAGTATTAGTCCAACGAGATTCACGAGGAAATGGTATGCTTAACATGATTATTAAATTTTTCAATATTGTGAAATATTTTGCCGACGACTTTTTGACATGGTGTTTCCATTCTGCATCTCTCTTTGAGTATATAACAAAGAAACCTTCTCAACCTTCTCTTTAAAGTCACCGGCGATCGATCTCCGGTGATCACAACTTTTTCCAGTCAAAGACATGCCGATATTATTAGACATCCAACCCCAAGGTAGTTTTACATCTCTGTCTCCATTTCTCCGTACATGTCTTTTTGGGCATTGAACCTCCTGATTTGTTAATCACTCATTCTTTACTAATTTACTTTTTCGATGCGGGTTTATTCTGGAATGCTCGAATTTCTCTTTTGGTACAGAGTAAGTTTAAGCTCTTATTTTTACATTCAAGAGAACCTTTTTAACAAAGGTTTTTAATTATTGCTTTCTTGATGCACAGGCTTGCTGGAATTGCCATGATGTTTTCTTCTAGTATCTTCTTACAGATCATGGTATACAGTTAATTAATATATACGACTTATATCGTGATGATTCATAATTAGTTGTGCTTACTCAATATCATCATAAGTTCATAACTAATAATTAGCTTAATTTCTACAAATTGCTTAGTTTAGGCTTTTATATATCATTTTTTAACATTTTTGTCTGGTTGGTCTCGTACGTGTGATTTGATTAGATTCTTGTCACACATATATTGTAAATGGTAATCTATATAAGTCTGTTTGTGAACTAGCAAGCTGAGTAATTTTCCTTGGCTGTATCATTCAAGGAAGAAATAATAGTCATGTACTGAAACGTAACTATTGTTTTATTTCTAATTATGGTCATATTCAGGCGTGCGCCATATATAGTAACTGGTGGCCAATGCTATCAGGGCTCATGTATTTGGTTATGCTTATGTCTATGCCTTGTTTTATGGCTGGACGATGCTTAACCAAACCCCCAACTGATCCAGACGGTATAGGGTTAGTTACTTAATCAACTATACAGACTTTACTCTGATATATACTTCAGATTAAATCATACGAAACATGTATGCATGGTTTGATTTCATGCGCAGGTGGATGGAAGCAGCTGAGTTGTTAAAGAAAAAAGAAAGAGGAGGTCCAGGTATGTTCTTTACCGGAGCATGGACCGTTGGAGGCGTCGCGATACCTTTTTTTTTTTGAAACAACTTTTCATTAATTGAAAATAGACGATTACACACTGTTAATTAACAGAGGAAAGAGAAGCGGTGCGACAAAATTCTCAGTGAACATGCAAGAAGCCGCTTTGGATAGAGAATCCGCCTTCAAATTCTCCGATCTCGATCTCGGGATGAATCGAAACGAGATTGAGGTAAACAACTGAGTAAGAGATTGAATATCGAAAAGGAGACCATAGATTTTCAATCATATTAAGGCACGCACAAATGATCGAGACTGGTGCAATGCTCATAGGTTTCACATCCTTTTTCGTATTCATTTGCACTGCCATGTGTTTTCACTCGGCTTGCATCAGCGATGATTCTTAAATGTTGTTAATATTACTTGTGATTTACTAATTTGATGATTCGAATTAGAAAGAGATAGATAGAGAGTTTTAGTGTGACGACGATGTTATTGAAGAAACTTAAGCTGTGTTATTCTGGACTGGTACAAATAGAATGTGAGTTTCGTAGACATCTTAACACATGCATGGTTAGATTAATTATATATAATCCTGTTTCATGCAGAGTGAAATTAATTACACACGAGATGAAAGAGAAAATGAATCTGACAGAACTGAAAATGAAAACGATAAAGAGGAAGGAAATAGAGAGTGACAGCAAATTATAGAGATGCTGTTGACTAAATTATTATTATTTTATTTTTATCTTTGGAGTAAATGATATGGTTGAGCCAAAATCCTAAAAAATGATTATAAAATCCAAAACTGATAACAATAGCATTATATGCTCGTACAACCAACAAAAGGAAAAAGCCCATGGCCTAACATTGGGCCCTATGAGGGTAGAAGCGTACTTTCAACAAGACTCTCCATACTTGTATATATAGCCTCGCGAATCTCCATCAAACTCTTAAAAGGTCAGGCCGTCATCTAGGGTTTTCTTTCGCTGTAATTTAGGGTTCCTTCTCTTTAATCTAGTGTTCTTCTATCTTGCTCTCATTCGTTCGGTAGCTGATAGTAATTCTCACATTTTTTCAGCTTTTTTTTTCAAAAAATCGAAACGGCGAGAATGATGATTCAATTAGATGTGCGAATGGAGAATTTCTCCATCTTGAGCTCAAAAAGTTTATTTGGCGATAATTAATCTGACTCCGCCCTCATCTTCTATGTTTTTAGTCTTTTTTTTCTAAGTTTTTATTCTCTTTGCAAATTTGGAGGAATGGTTTTGAATGATGATTCAATTAGATGTGCGAATGGTTTCATCATGAGCTCAAAAACTCAATTTGGCAATTTTTTCTGACATTTCCATTTCTCCATGTTTAAATCCTATAGTATATTTTTTCCGAAAAGTAAAAGAAATCTTCTTTCGATAATGTTTTCTGGTTTGATAAAATGGCGGATAATGATGAGTTTTATCGAAGGGTGACAGAAACCTTGTGTCTTCTAATAATGAGCCTTGTATAATTATTTTGCTTATTGATATCTCATTACGCCATTGAAAAATCTGCAAGATGATTTTATCCAAAGGAATCTCTAAGTTATATAAATCGCATATTAGACATTGTAATCTTGACGGTCGACTCGTGTTCCTAAATGTTAATACCAGTGGTAAAGATTAAAATTGCTCTAATGCGAGAACTGATTAAGCTCTATGACGTATATCCAAAACATAAAAAAAATATATTTATCTTCTATCAAACCTTCATAAAAATGAAAGAGTGATACAGTTCAACGTGTGGAATAACATTTTGCCCCTTCCGCTAAATGTTTCGAAAATTATTAAACAAGACTAGGCACGAGCTGTTTTCATGTACTGCGAAAGAAAAAAATATGATTCTGTAGCAGAATAAAAACAACAAATTATGGTCTTTTTGTTTGACCAATGCCGGAGAATAAAAACAAATTACAGGCCAAAAGGCTATAGTTTTATGGGCCAAACCCAGAGTTAATGTATCAGCCTAAGCTAAAATGAACCAGCCCAAATAGTTATCGAAGCCCAAGTTTATCATCCTTGAAAGTTTATTGGTGCTTGCGTCCGTCACTCAGAAATATCTTTAACCTTCTACAAAACTTAAGAGAAAATGGATTAGTCCAATTTAACTCTTTTAATTACATGTAAAGTGTTAGGTATCTGAATCCGTTCGTCGTTCACACATAGTATAACAGAATTTTAAACATTGCTACGAAAAAACAAATATACATTTTCACACAAAAAAAAGGTATAAGAATACAAATCATCGAACAGAAATTTCATATGATCCAAAAGAGAATAGGATTTTCATTTAATTCTAATTAACACTCCAACCTGGCAATTAGTGAAAAACAAATTTCATTAAAGGAAAATAGAAGTGCAAAAGGCGTGAAATAGTATTACAGTATCTCTTCTCTAGCACACTAATCTGATCCTACACGTAATTTTCTTACAGCCCAACGGTAACTTTTAAGAGAACGGATAAAACTTTTCTTAAGAATCTCCTACGCTGCCTTATCAACCGTTGGATTTAAAGTTCATGATCTAACGGCTAGAAATCCAATCCCGCTAACAATTTGACCGTTGGGAATTTCCTTTAATGGCTCCTCCGTTCCTCTCCTCTTTCCCATAAGAACACACTCTCTCATTCTTCTTCCCATATTCTTTCAGATTCTCTCTGCAGCGAAAAAAAAAAAAAAAAATCATCAAAGAAGAGGTTTTGAACAAAACCAGGAACCCAGAAAGGAACGATCATGGCGACAAGACGAGCCATTCCCCAACAAGCTAGAGGTTTATTCCTCCGCCGATCAATCTAATTTTCTTTTCCCCCTTTTTTTCTTTGCCCTAGATTTATCACAATCGACGATTTTGATCATGGGTTTTTGTGAATTCTCGTTCGCGTGAAAAGTTTAGATCATGGGTTTTCTGATTCGATTGGTTTAACATATCAATTTGGTGAAATCAGAGATTGATTTCAATTCGATTCTCAAAGGTTCCAGATCTTGATTTTGGGTAATTTCTGTGTGACCAGGTGATCCAATCGACATGAAAAACGCGGCAGCAAAGAACCGTCGCGCTCTCGGCGACATCGGAAACATCAATTCTCTTCCCGGAGTTGACGCATCTAAGATTAATCGCCCCGTTACCCGTAACTTTCGTGCCCAGTTGCTTGGAAACGCTCAAGTTTTACCCGCCGCTAACAAAAAGGTCTTTTTTTTTCTTTCTGTTCTTCATATCTTTTTGCGACTCAAATCCTGTTTACAATTTTAGAATCTGACCCTTTTTTTCTCCTCTCTCTGACTCACTAAACAGCAAATCAATCTGGGCAAGGCTCCTGTTCTCGATGGTGCTCAGGTTTTACCCAAGAAACCAGAAGCGGCGGCTCAAAACAAAGCGAGAGCTGTGAAGCGGCAGCCGTTGAAACCAATTGAAGTGATTGAGATTAGTCCTGATACAAGCGAGGAGAAGAAGAAAGTGACTTACTCTTCCGTTCTCAACGCTAGAAGCAAGGTACTTTCTTTGGCCTTTTTTCTTTAATTTGACATTGAAAGTTTCAATCTTTTAACTGTTTGGTTGTGATTCGCTTAAACAATTAGGCTGCTGCTTCCAAGTCTCTGGATATTGACTCTGTCGACAAAGACAATGACCTTGCTGCTGTGGAGTATGTTGAGGACATGTACACGTTCTACAAAGAAGTTGAGGTACTTAATGGGATCACACACTCAAGTCTAAAATGCTAATAAAGGACGTATCTTTGTGAATGTTTATTGAAGTTTTGTTGATTCTTTTTCTCTGTTGCAGAATGAGAGCAAGCCTGTAATGTATATGCCAACACAGACTGAGATTAACGAGAAGATGAGATCAATTCTTGTCGACTGGCTTGTTGAGGTTCACATCAAGTTTGATCTGTCCCCTGAGACTCTCTACCTAACAATCAACCTGATTGATCGTTTCCTGTCTCTGAAAACTGTACCAAGAAGAGAGCTCCAGCTTCTAGGTGTTAGCGCTTTGCTCATAGCTTCGAAATACGAAGAGATATGGCCTCCTCAGGTATGGTAACACACACATTTACTAATGTTAGAACAATTTTAAGAATCAGGACTGATTTTGCTGATCATGTTGTGTTGTGAAACAGGTCAACGATTTGGTGTATGTGACGGATAACTCCTACAGCAACAAGCAGATACTAGTGATGGAGAAAACCATTTTGGGAAGTCTTGAATGGTACTTGACAGTTCCAACGCAGTACGTGTTCCTTGTGAGATTCACTAAAGCTGCGATTTCTGATCCGGAAGTGGAGAACATGGTTCACTACCTAGCTGAATTGGGTTTGATGAACTACGAGACTTTGAAGTTTCCTCCTTCTCTGCTCGCTGCTTCAGCAGTCTACGCTGCGAGGTGCTTCTTAAACAAGAGACCTGCTTGGAATGATACTCTGAAATTCCACACTGGTTACGCTGCATTTGAGATCCTGTAAGTTTCTTTTTTTCTTTGACTTCTCTGTTATCATCATTAATGTTTATGTGCTGATTGATTTCTGTGTGTGTGTGTGTGTGTAACAGGCAATGCGCAAAGCGTTTAGCTTTGATTCACTCGAGAGTTGGGGAGGGAAAGCTACGCGCTGTGTTCAAGAAGTATTCGAAGTCAGAGAGATGTGCTGTTGCTTTGGTTACACCAGCCGAGTCTCTTGTGTCTCCTAGGTCATGAAAGGAAGTCGACATTTTTAGATCTCACTGATCTTATTATATGTAGAGGGTTTGTTTTTTTCTTGTTGAGAAAATGATGTTGTTATCCTATGAATTCAAAAAGTATTGTATGAATTCTTTTCTTCTATATGACAACAAGAATGGTGTTTTTGTATGAAATTCAAAAGTATTATATGAATTCTTTCTGTTCTAAATGACAATCGTTTTGGTCTATTTACTTTGAAAGCTTTTATTGTTCTGAACATGAACGAATGATCTATAAGCTGGAACAATGGTTTCTTATAAGAAAATTGAGAAAGTGTTGCAATTTTTGTATGGTAGAGAAAGTATCATATTGTTCATTCCAATGTGATGAAGAAGATTGGAGTATCCAAAAATATGATTTTTAAATAATTTCGCAAAAAGGACGAAACGACGACATAGCGGGGAATCAAAGTGCTGAGGGTAATTACGTCATTTGTCATAGGCATTTCGATGTAACCCTAATCTATAAGATAGTTTTTGTAGCGCCGAGAGAGTCCTTCTTGTGAGTTTCCACTGCCGGCTTTTTCCAGAGAAGAGCATCCTCCGACTACTCTTAACGTTTCGTCTCTAGTCATCCATTTGCAAACATGGTAAGCTCTTTCTCTCCTTAGTCTTCTTTTTCTCGGTGGAGTTGTTTTTTTTTTTGTAATCGAGCTCCGAGATGAGATAAGTTCTTAGATTTCACATAGGTTTTACTGCTAGATTCCGATTGTTCCATGTTATTAGCTTCTAATCGTTAAATCTATTGACGAGATTGTGATGCGGTTTGTGGATCGAATTTGATAAATTGTGCGATTGATCGTATGGTCACTTGGACTAGTGATATTGAATTGATTAGTGTGTGTACGAGGCATTTGAGCTAGACTAGTGAACGATTTGTTTCTGAAATCTGTTTTGCTCTCTCTCTCTCTGTTGATAGTCGAGGAGAAAGACCAGAGAGCCCAAGGAGGAAAATGTGACACTTGGACCTGCCGTGAAGGACGGAGAGCAAGTTTTCGGTGTTGTTCACATCTTTGCATCTTTCAATGACACTTTCATTGTAAGTTTTTTTCTCTCTTTGATTCTTTAGTTAGTGACTTTGTAGTATAGTCTTGTGTGCAGTCATTCATTGATGACTTTGCTGTTGATTTTCTTTGCAGCATGTGACTGATCTTTCCGGAAGAGAAACTCTCGTCCGTATCACCGGTATGTTCTCCTAACAGTTCCTGTTTATGCAGATACTAATCATTGTAATGTTGAATGATTATGCGAATTGAATTGAGTCCTCAAAATTCACATTTTGTTGGCAGGTGGAATGAAGGTGAAGGCTGATCGTGATGAGTCTTCTCCTTATGCTGCTATGCTTGCTGCTCAGGATGTTGCTCAAAGATGCAAGGTCTGAAACTGATCACTATTTTTAACATTTTCTTATAATGCCATTGATATATGTTCATCCTCTTATTAATTATAATCTGTAATGCGATATGTGACAGGAGCTAGGCATCACTGCCATGCACGTGAAGCTCCGTGCCACTGGAGGAAACAAAACCAAGACTCCAGGACCTGGTGCTCAGTCAGCTCTCAGAGCTCTTGCTCGTTCAGGCATGAAGATTGGTCGTATAGGTAATCACAGAAACCGAATCTCCCTCTCTCTCTCTCTATAGTACTTTTGATTGGTTTATTTAGAGAACTGAGAAGAATCTTTGTTGAATGTGTTTTTGCAGAGGATGTGACACCAATTCCCACCGACAGTACACGCAGGAAGGGTGGAAGGAGAGGAAGAAGACTTTGATCGCTCAATGAGACTCATCATCGTTCTGCTGTGCCCTTGACTCGTTTAGTTTCTTGGGTACACTTCGAAGTTAGTTTTGCCCATTTCCAGTTTTATCTTTCGTGTTGCTTCGAAAACATTGTAACTTTCTTCAACATTGTGACTTTGGCATTTGGAGTTTTTGGTTATGAGAAAAAAAGTGATAAAGACCAGTTACGCCGTGTTATTTTTATTGCTCTTTTTTGCATTTTCTCACTTCCTGCTCTAGAATGCGAGTTTTGTTGTGCAATCTTAACTCGATTGGTGTATGAATGCTTTCATACGTCTACAAAACGCATATTCACAAATATAAAATCAAAAGATCAACTCAAAAGTCAAAACTAACTAAACAGATATAGGATTGGTTCTTAAAACTTAAAAGCTAAAGAGAACAGATTGATGCCAATTTCCATAAGTTATTCTGCAAGCAGAGCATCTTCTTCTTAGTCAAACAATCGTTTAGGTATGAATAATTAAATATAATAGCTCAGATTGTACATCGAGGGTGTTTGGTCTAGTGGTATGATTCTCGCTTCGGGTGCGAGAGGTCCCGAGTTCGATTCTCGGAACACCCCCCCAATCTCTGTTTTTCGTTATTGGGCTGAAACCATTAACATTGGGCCTTGAAACGACGCTTACATAAATAAACCTCTATAATTCTTGACCGACGTCGTCTCTATTTTCCCTCTTTGATTCTGGAATCGAGCAAGTTCTTCATAGCTGAGCACAGCCCTACTCTCTCCCCTTTTCGTCTTCTCCGATTTTGCAAGCATGAGTCGATCAGGCCAGCCCCCGGAATTCAAGAAGTAAGCTCTATTCTCCACTTGTTTCCTTTTGATCTCCAATTCTTCAATCACTTAATTTGTTGGTTCTATCCAGCTTCCACTTCTTCTTCGTCGTGTTTCTGATTCTTCGTCGTTTGTTTTCGTTTCGTGTGATAATGCAGGTGCATGGACAAGAAACTCCAAAGTAAGCTCAATCTCTTCGCTAACTTTTTTTTCTATTTGGAGCATTTGAGTTAACCTAATCACTTTCTGAAAACTGGCTTGCAACAATCTATATTAGAAATTCGTGATGTCTTCATTTTCCTCGATTGCTTGATTTTGTGTACGAATTAAAGTTGTGTATACTATTTCCATTATTGATTGGTTGTGTACACTGTTTCCATTGAAAGCTAATAGTGTATCATTGCTACTTGGTTGCAGTGTCGCATTACAATCGGTTATCTGTTTGGTTAAGGTCGGATATGGTTTATGGATTGATACATACTTTGGTTTTGTTTCTCACTCAGATTTCATTTAGAATTTTGATTTGACTCATCATGTTCTTGTGGGTGTGTTTGACATCAAGAGAAATTTAATGTCTCTCTTCTTTTTTCTTTGTTCCTCAATGTAGTTAAGCTTAATGCGAACCGAATGGTTATTGGAACTCTCCGTGGGTTTGACCAGTTCATGAATCTTGTTATGGCGGAGACTGTTGCAGTCAATGGTGATGTCGAAACTGATATTGGGACTGTGGTACGTTTCTCTATCTCTAGTCATTTGATCACGTGTTTTTTTTGGGTTTTTTTTCTTCTAATTTGTTCTACATTTCTTGGATACAGGTGATAAGAGGAGACAGCATTGTCACCGTTGAAGCTCTTGAGCCCATTGGAAGATCTTAGCTTTGTTACTTTGCACCAACGGCTAATCCAATCATCTTCTGTATTAAAGACTTAGCTTGCTCTCTCTAATTGGAACGCAATTAGTAGACTACCGGCATGATTCAATCTTGATGAAGACTGATTTTGTGAATTCTTCTTCTTCTGTTCCCTAGCTTTTCTATAGAACTTTAATTAATTAGATGGATGTAGGCAACTCTGATTGATGTCCTTGTGTTAAGGATCTCTTAAGAATTGTATTAGTTCCCTTTCTGTAATGCTTATAAACTTTGGTCTGACTATTGAAGCTTTTTGTAAGCATTGAAGCTTTTTGTAAGTATTGCTATAACTTTGGTCTGACTATTGAAGCCTTTTGTAAGCATTGCTATAACTTTACAAAGAGAAGCCAAAGCAGAAAAACTAATTTGTTTGGTCCAAAGTCCCAAACCTCGCACAAAGCACAAGGCTTTTGTTGTGGGGATCTAAACTTTGGGTATATGAGCTCCAACGGTCATTTCTCTTGCTTTATGACTTTTATCTTAACCTTTTTCTTTCTCTAGTGAGATCTCATGATTATGCCGTTTGGCTCCTCTGTTATTGTTCTTATAAAAGGTGTTTTATAAATAAGAATAAGCGTAAAAGGAAAAGAAGAAACAAATTAGGAGGAGAAGTGAAAGTGGAAGGAATCAAAGAAGCATGTGCCCCACGAAGTATTGTTTGTAGTACAAATGAGGATGAAATGATACATGATCATTATCATCATTCATCTCCAATCAAACAGCAACAACACGTAACCACAACGGAATGTTCGCCTCGTGGTGGGTCGTTGACACACGTGGGGGGTTTTAATTCCAAGTTTCGATTCTGCTTTATTGATCAACAAAACTTACAAGTCACATCTATCAAAATATACGATACTTGCTCAGTTTATAAACATATAAAATTTCAAGTATATGTGCTTTATTGGTAGAAAAGTAGGTGTTTGTGTATTGTCTAGAAATTCTCTTTAAACATTTGATCTAATCAATTTAAAACACATTGGTGTACAACTAATCCAAGAAGAACTTTCACCAACTTCACTGTATTTTATTTCCTTTTTTCCTTTCTTCTTTTCTCTTTAAGTTTTTGGGGAAGAGTTAAAAAGAAAAAGTTGTCGAGGAGGTGTGTTTCTTTTTAACGGTAACAAAATTACATATCTTGAGAATTCTGGTGGACAATTGCAAGTAAATAAACTAATAGATTCATTTTTGATATAAGTTGTTCATTGATACTTTTTTACCTGTTCAAAATTATGATTACACATTATCATTTAACAAACAATCAAGTTTTAGCTCTGGATATGAAAACAGAAAGTTTATAATAGCATAAATTTGACATGTGAGGTAACTAGTAAATTTGACATTTCACATGAATACAAAGGTTATCAACTTCTTGATTTTGTACTAAAGATAACATACAAATGTAAAGAGAGACAGAGAGATACAAACAAAATTTAAAAGGTTACAGCAAAAATATAAAAAAAGACAGCTGCGACCTTCATCTTCCTCGTTAATCCTTCATCTTCTCTCTCACCTACCTCCACCAATCTCTCTCTCCTCTGTGAGCCGCGACTTGTGTTAGAATACAAAGAAGAAGAAGAGAGAAAGATTGAAGTGATAATAACAATCCACCAACTAAAACCTTTTCTTCAATTCAACTCTACGCGTCGCTTACTTCCTTCCCAAAAAGTTTTAATCTTTTGAGCTTCTCCATTATTCCCCAACAGAATCATTAATTACCCATTACTAATCCCATTTCTTTTCCCTTAAATTCGCATTAAAGTTTGTTTCTTTATAGCCTTTGATTTTGACCTCCTTCACTGTGTGTCCTCTCATTGTTATCCATCCCTTGAGAGAGAGAGAGTACCCATCACTCCAAGATTTGATTTTTTTGGATTATCCTTGACTACAGAGAGAGAGAAGATGGCGAAAGTACTAAAATCGAGCCAATCATGTCATTTCTCTTCACCTTCAAGCTCATCTTCTACATCATGCGGAAGCAATGATGGGAACAGAGACCCACATTCTCTTTTTAACATTTCTCGAGAGGAAGAAGAAGATAGAGACGAAGAAGAGAGAAGAAGCGACAAAGAGAGAGAAAGGTTCGAGATTTCGTCGGCATTGGAGGTTCTTGTTTCTGCAATCAGAAAGTCTGTGATTGGTGGGTGTGTTGGTGAAGATCTTTGCTCAATGGAGATTGGTGTGCCCACAGATGTTAGACATGTCGCTCATGTCACCTTTGATCGTTTCCATGGCTTCCTTGGCTTGCCTGTTGAGTTTGAACCTGAAGTCCCAAGACGAGCTCCTAGTGCAAGGTTCGTTTTTTCCCTTAAAGATGTTTCTAGAAGTATTTAGTGATTCGGGCTCTCTTAGTTCTTGTTTTTTGAATTCTTTCTGTTGTTGAGCCTGTGTGTTTGAAAAGCTTCATCATTTATCAGATTATGCAAGAATCAACTCTGGTTGTGATTTAGCAGAATGTCTCTCTACCTGTAATTAGTCTTTTCCCCTGACATCAAAGATTCAACCTTTTGGTGTTCTTGAGTCAATTCCGATAGATAGAGGACTTCTTGTTCTTGCTCCTGACATGAACGCAGTTATTTTGTATGTGCTTGAGTAAAGTTTTCTTATTTTTGTTTGAGTTTTGGGTGAAATTGCGTTTGAAGTGAATGACTAGTCAAGATGAGAAGCTGATTTAAGACTGTGTTTGTAAAATGCAGTGCAACAGTGTTTGGAGTCTCCACAGAGTCAATGCAGCTATCTTATGATACCAGAGGGAACATTGTGCCAACGATACTCTTGATGATGCAGAGTCACTTGTACAATAGAGGAGGCTTGCGTGTGCGTGGTTAACGTGTATTGTTTGAAACAATTTGCATTTGGTGTAAATAAGTATTCACTGGTTTTATTTGTTTGTCATATTTATCAGGTAGAAGGAATATTCAGGATAAATGGTGAGAATGGTCAAGAAGAGTACATAAGAGAAGAGTTGAATAAAGGTGTTATACCTGATAACATCGATGTCCATTGCTTAGCAAGTCTCATTAAGGTAAACAAAACCATTAAACTCCACAAATATGTCTTCATCGTCTCTTTTCCCTTACTTGTGTTTTCTCTCCTCTTAGGCTTGGTTTAGGGAACTTCCAAGTGGTGTGTTGGATTCACTCTCAGCGGAGCAAGTAATGGAGTCAGAGAGTGAAGATGAGTGTGTTGATCTTGTAAAGCTTCTTCCTTCAACAGAGGCTTCTCTGTTAGATTGGGCGATCAATCTAATGGCTGATGTTGTCGAGATGGAACATGTTAACAAGATGAATGCTCGCAACATCGCTATGGTTTTCGCTCCTAACATGACTCAGGTTCGTTTCTGTTGATGCAGCTTTATGTTTGTCAGATGAAATCAGTTGTTAATCAATGTTTTGTGATCTAAATTTGCAGATGTTGGATCCATTGACGGCTCTAATGTATGCTGTGAAAGTCATGAACTTTCTCAAGACACTTATTGAGAAGACGCTTAAAGATCGGAAAGAGTCACGAGAGAAGCTGATTCCGGCTTCAAATTCCGGTCACCGGGACCATAATGGTGATCAGAGTAGTAGTAGACAGCTGTTGCATCTCATGAAAGCTAACAAGGAGGAAGCTTTAGATAGCTCTGAGGCGGAAATGAGAGACAAAGAAGACTACTCTGCAGAAGAAGAAGAGGAAGAAGAGTCTGCAGGATATAGAGAACTTGTTGGCATAAAGAAGAAGAGTCTGGTTAAAAGCTGTAACAATGGAGGAGGTTTTGGACAGAAACAGAGTGGTTGGAATGAGCATAGGAAGAAGACCAAGGTTTCGAATGCGAGCAGTATTGTGGGACGAGTGAATTACAGAGTTGAGCTGTTCGATGCTTGGCGATGAAAAAATATTTCATTTTCTTGATGTTTTTGATCCAACTTTTGGATTTTCTTGCTTTGGGTTTTGTTGGATAAATGCTTCTCATCATGGTTGCTTGTGTGTATCAAGAAATGCTACGTTTCTGCATATAATGTCAAAGATAAAGTTTCTGTTTCTCTTCCTTTGGGTTTATATCTTCAAACTTGAAAGCAGAATCTGCATCTTTTGGTTTTCAGGTGCCTTTGACTATAAATTTACCATTTTATTAACAAAAGGATATTAAAATTAAACAAAACACAAACATATTACAATCACACTTTACTTTCCAATTAGCACATCATCATTACATGATTCTTTGGATTTTTTTTAACGGAAAAGAGAAACAATAATAGTACTAAGTACAAAGCAATTTACACCACAAAAGGTGATTATTTCTTGGTCAACGAAATGACAAGAGTGACACTCGTTTTGTTTCTGCAGCTCGCGTGCTTGGTCACATGGTGTGCATACTTGTCAAACAAGGCATCGATAATGTCTTCTCCAAAGTGAGCAACGAGCATCGGTTCACTAACCGCTCTTATACAATTGGCTTCATTGTATCCAGCTTCTTCTTCGTCGTAGTCGTCGCGAGTACTATGGCCAAGATCGAATCCATGTGTTTCAAAGTCATTGATTTCAAAAGAACCCTCGTTTCTGATCACTTCCTCGAGTTCTTGTTCGTTCGGATCATAAAACGGCATGTTGAATGATTCCATCTTTGATTCACTCACTAGTCCCTGTATATATATATTTAAAGATTGACTTGAGTTCCACGGCCAAATCAATAAAACAATTCTTGTGGTAACAAATGTTAATTACATAAACGTTATAAAAAATTAATGTGTATGATATATATACCTCGAAGACAAGGTCACGGAGAGATTTTGAAAGCAATGTCCAAAAATGGCAGCAATCTCTATACAAGGGATCATTACGAGTGTTTCTACCGATGAAGGTGAGAACCATACGTCCGTTAGAGACAACTTCTTCAGAACGTAACCTTAGAAACGTGGTGAAATCTCTTTGGAACTGATTCAAGTAAGCCTTGTATGCACTTTGAGGACTTGAGTTTGTTATGTACACATTTTCCTTATCGCTCTCGAGTTGTTCAGGAACCTTTAACCATAAACACACACATTTCGTCCGTCGTTTAAGTATCAAATAACTCAAATGTTTTTATATAACTAAAAGTTTAAAAGAAATTTTAGAAATACCTTAGAGAGCCAATGGAGGGCGTAAGAGGAATGTATGAAGTGGAGGCTATTGCGAGAGAAGAGCCTAGAGTAGAAGGAACCTGGAGCTCCATAGACGAAACACGATGTTTTGTTTGTGATCATGAGCTCCTTGTTGAAGAAAGGTACGAACTTGAAGGTCGTGTTGAAGTCGTTTCCCGGGAGATCATTCAGACAACAATCGATTTCTGGTGGGTTTTGGTTGGATTGTTGGCACAACACATTGATGGTGTTGATGATCTCAGAGATAGCCAGAAATGAGTTTTGTCCCGAGGAACAACCCAATTCAGCAACTTTGATGTACTTTGGAAAGTCTAAGTTCATCATCATTTCTTCTGTGTTTTTTACCAATACCGGTTTGGCCATTGATAAAACTCTTCTCTAAGAACCAGAAAAAAATACTAATTAAAAAATATTTTAAGACTATAATTCGTATTATGTAATTAGAGATGAAAATTGAAAATTACACCATATGTAATATCAAATCCACTTTCTATCCCTTCGATACAAGTTGTTAAAAAGAAATCCATTATTCTATGCGTGACATATAAACCTCACGTCAGACTGGACCCAGCTTCGTACGATAATGAACGACAACGATATAATATATGATTCATTCACGTTTAAAATGTGAGTTGTGTACATTTCTTTTTGTTTTATTAGTGAGCCCTTTGTGGAAAATCCTCTAGTTCTAGGAACTATCATTTTTTAACTTTATTTCTGTTTGACAAGAATCCGTCACTAACAGAACTTATACGTACGCCCTAAATACAACTACCTTTTTTTTTATAAAGAAACTAAATACAACTACCCTATTCGTACCCATAGTAAAGATTAGTCATTCTTTATTTGAAAAATATATATACTAAGAATCAGTATCAATTTAAACAGAAAAAATATATTTATAGTTTTATACTGATTACTAAGTTTTGGTATTTCTACTTCACGCATAATATATTTCGATTCATATAGAAAATAGAAACACGTTGTTATAGCAGGTATAGGTTCATTTGTTAGTATTTTGAACTTGAAAATCAAGTATATATATATAACGGTTTGAAATTTACAAATTTTGATTGAAAATGTTATTTCAATCACTGTATGATCAAATAAAACTAACTTAGTGTAAAGTGTAAACTAAAACGAAGAAAGGATATTATGAAGAACCTGAAGAAGAGAATTGGCGGAGTAGCTGTTGGCTCCATCACCACCACTCATACGTAAAGCTCTCACAAACGCATATTCATCATCACTCTTATCGTCATTAATATAGCTGCATCGCAACACACATATGTTTTAGCATGCATATACATACACATATATGGAATAATTAAATCAAAGAAAAATTAAGTATATGTGTTGTGATGATGAATTAAAGAGAAGAACCTCAAGGAAGGAGTGGTGTCGATAAATCTTGAATCCATTTTTTTGTATCGTACTTATCAATTAGTGATAGGATTAGAGGAGAATTATCAGAAGAGGTTGGTGTGTGGAGGATACAGCTCACACACTTGAATTTATAGAGAGATGGAACTTAATGAAGGTGTCACATCAGAAGGAAACAAAAATAAATACATGGATCACGCCAAGTGTACGAGTTGCTAGGTCGTTGCGCGTAAGATCAATAAACTAAATAACTAATGCCACTAAAAGATACTTACATTTTGACCCAAATAATTTAGTTTATAGTCTATAGAATATTGATTCTGAAACTATGATTTGTTATTGACTTGTGGTTAATTAACTCGGTTTACAATTGAAGTGCTTTCTCCTGTAGACAAGTTGAATTGTTAAGGATTTGATTATGAGGTTGTTATATTTATATATACCAAGACTCGAAACAATTCTTTTGAAACCTTTTTAATTTCAGAATATATAAAAAACAGTTATAAGTGAAATAAGAGTTCTGAAAAAGATATACAATCTGCTGAAATATATATAATATTACAAGTAATAGATGTATGTGCATGCATGTGCATGTGTTTCTACAACCAAACAACTTTGGACTTACGTACAAATTCTATAATCTCTCTTTGTCCTCGTTTTCGGGGTTGGTCTTACATATTTGAAGGAACTTGAAAATCGGTAGATTCAAGTAGTTGGAATTAATACCGGTTTTGGATTGTGTAAAGTTATTGACAAATTGTTGCAGAAATTAAGTTATTTTTTTGTGGTCGAAGTTTCGTCTACGGTATGATATGTGGTGGCGTGTAGTTTGATCCCTCCTAACTCCTAAGTTTGTAGTTTATGTTATTTGAGATAGAGGTAGGACCGATGGGGTGTCGTATATCTTTAACCCAATCGAAGGAAAGTATCGACGATAAGTAGGTAGTTTTCATATGATCATATCAATGACGATAAATCTTACTAACATTTTTTCTTTTGAATAAACTTGTAATCTGTTAGTAAGATTCTGCATAAGTATATCAATATTTGTAGAGGAACGGATACTCGTATGTATAACTCTAAATATAAGTGTCTTTGATTTTCATTCTCCACATATATATTAGCTTATAGTATTTGTTGTATTCCTTAACAATTAATTATCATTGGATCAAATCGGACCAAATAATAAACTGAAAACGGATATTACGAATTTTTTTTTTCTAAGATATTTAAAGTGTTCTAGATCTGGTAACTAAGGGGATATAAAAAGAAGAGTTAGAGACAAACAAGGAGAACAGCAAAAAAATGTTTTCAAGTTTCAACTAACGCGTCTATATTGTATGAGCCAAAAAAATGTGAAAAACTAAAACCACGATTTGTTGTTGGTGGTGATTAAATGTATTGGGTAATTAAAGACAAAAAGAGATAGTGAGAAATTAATACTATAGTATCCAAAACCCTCTCTCATGCAGTTTACGTGTATAATTATAAATCATTACATAATAAAATTTAGTACACTGAATAAGAACTTTGTGAACATTTAAATTGATAGTAGAATATGCAAGTTGATATGTGAGTTTCCTCAAGTAATTAAAGATTACAAAGAGAGAAAGAAGGTCATAACTGACAGTGACGAAGCTTCTTCTGCTAATCTGCAAAAAGTGTGAACAGACTCTGTGCTGACGTAGATTCCATTAATCAAACCCTGTGACATTATGGTAATACTTGAATTATCTAATCCAAAGTCCTTTTTAATCATTTAGTGGTCTTTGTTATACTACTCGGATTTTCTCTGACCAAAAAACGAATATTAGTGGTACGTAGTGCATGTATAATCTTACAATATTTGTTTGTTTGTTTGCCCAAATGTAAAGGCTTGTCCTTACACCATGTGATAGGGGTAAAACGAACGGATCCAGATATGATGGCATGCATGTGGAATACGAGTTTCCTAATATCGTTTCTTTTCGTACTAGACTATTTTCTGCCGGTCAAATTTATGGTACACCACGTTTTTACTCGTTATTAAATCGACAATCATGATCGATTAGTACATTCAAATCCTCATGTACACATCATATTAGTATTTGCAAATCAATTTTCGTGAATGGAGCCACCACGTTAACTCTCAGCCGCGGAATTACCGAGATGCCCTTAATGAAAATCTTTCAATTAAATCTTCGAATTTTTCCTTTTTTATTAAAAACGAATTTGATTATTGACTTTTAATATTTTTAGATAAATATGTTAACTACCATATCCCCGCCTTATTTTTGGAAGATATTATAAATTTTAGGAAGATAAATAATAAGTAAACCCTAAGATTCTTAACTGACCTGTATTATATAAATAGATACGATCTTGGAAAAACAACACAATTTTCATTACGATTTGCAATTTGTCTTTCAATACGTAATTTTAGTTCTTAGATCTCATATTTCTTCTTCACATGTACCTTAATTGTTTTAGTTCGATCTTAGTTCTAATAAAACTATTTATGAACTGATTATTTGTTATTTTCTGTCAATATCATCTATTGATCCGCTTCTAACTACTTCCTCTCTCACTTTTGTAACAGAAAATTCATTATTTGTAAGCTGATGGAATAGAAGTTCATATATGGTCCCAAGCCAGAAGTATTCTTCCCCAAAAATAGAGGGTATGAACATCTTTTCTTTTATATATCAACTTAATATTCATGAAACCCTAATTCTAATGATGAGAGTATAACGTTTTCTGTTTTTTTTTTAATTTTAGTTTCTTCAATGAAGCTGGAGGAATGGAATTGGCGGAGCCTGGAAAGAAGAATGATTTCGGGAGCATATTAGCAGGTACAAAGATTTGGTTGAATCTTGAGATCATGAGAGGCCGTACCACATGATGTGCATGTGGCTTTGGATTGATTGTCTTTGCAGATCCTTATGTTGTTGTAGAGAGAATGATCATGAAGAAACAAATCATTGATGGCCGATCGGTTAATATTCTAAAACTCATCAAAAATCCTTCATCAATCTCTGTAACATATGATGTAACCTTTTGTTTTTTTTTCTTACTTGCGCAGTAAGCTTTCTTTAGTAGGACAAGACGATTTTTGAGTTCCTGTTTCGTCTACTAAAGGAGAGAGAACCTTATTCTGAATTCTTCTTACTTTTGGAGAGTCGAGTCAATTAAAGAAAAGAGAAACACTACGAAGAGGTAATGATTCAATGAGAAGATATTTCCTGATGCTAACATGTGGCCAAATTACGATGAAATTGAGGATGAAGAAGATGACAAAGAAGAAATACAATATTTATTCACAGTCTCCTCGACTCTCTTCTTTTATTTTATCAGTTTCATCTTTCTTCATGTAAGAAGAAATACAAGAAGAAAGATGAAACTAATAAAATAAGATGTTGCAAAAATGAAAAGGATTGATAACACAAAATGATAAAGAGTACAAAATGAAATAAGAAGAAAAGACTGAATAAAAACAAGGAAAAGATGAAAGTTGGAAGACAAAGACGGAAAAAACAAAAGAAACAGAACAAAAGAAGAAAATATTTGAAGAATATGTGAACAATAAAGAAGTTGAAAAAAAATCAAAAGATAAAAAAAACGAAGAATAAGAACACAAAGACAGTTGAAAAACAAATTGTAAATAAAAGGAAGAAAACTGATAAAAAGCAGGAAATAATAAGATGATGATGAAGAGAAAATTAAAAGAGAATAGAAAGTTTGATAAGAATAAGAAAAAAAATAGTAGAAAATGAAGAAAAAATATGAAGTAAAAGACAAATTAAAATAAAAAGATAAAATAGGGTTGAGGTTTATGATGTACGGTTTATACTGATGGGCGTAAAATTTAGTTGTTGATGCATTTAAAAAAATTTGAATACACTAAATTACCGATATAAAAAAACTTATGTTAAAAATAAAATAAAAGTAAATATAGAACCAATTTC